CAGCCCTGAGTTTTCCAAGTATTTGATGTGTTTTCTAGATACGGTGTTACTCTGTGACCGAGATGATGTAATCAAGTATCTCTCCAAATAAATAAACCTCCTCCTCCCTGCCCTTGGCTTTGCCACTGGCCGCACTCCCATGCCCTTTTTCTCCAGTTGCTGCTGGTGCTCGTTGCATCCCGGTGTGAGGTGCTCTGGGGAGCTGAACCAGTGAGAAAATGTTTGTGTTTTTTGTTGTGGGATTTGATTTGTGTTTTCTCCCCTCCGTCTCTCCCGGTGTCCCTCCCAGGGCCAGCTCTCATCACGGTCTGATGACTCCAAGGGTGTGGGGCTGCCCATTGCACCAAGCCATAGCAGGCAGCCTCCCAGCCCCACAGTGTTGCTACCTGCTGACCAAGCAGCAACATCTCAGCTGTCTCACCTATCCCTGCGTTGATTTTTAGATCTCGTTAATTTAGGTTCCACCTCTGGCCTGGGAGAAAGTTGAGCAGTAGCAGGAAACGGGGGAGGTGAATTGATGCTCTCTGGTCTGGTCCAAATGAGTTCACAGCAGATTGTAAGGCGCTGGAGAGCCAATGCTGCAGGACGGTTATTATTTTTAATTAAAACAGTATTGACTTTCATTATCAGTGAATTCAGATACTGCATAGGCGGGAAACCATTCATTATATTTAGAAGTCACTGCTCCGGATACACAGTATGAAATAACTATTTTTCTTTAGGCTCTGCCGATGCTGAACTGCAACCTAGCTTTTGCACTGAGTAACACAGCTACTGAAATAATACTGACTAAAACACCGTTTGCTCTTCCTCCTTTTGTTCAGCGTCTGAACCCAACCTGAAATTACGATCCAGGCTAAAGCAAAAAGTCGCTGAACGACGGAGCAGCCCCCTGTTGCGCAGGAAGGACGGGCCGGTGGTCACTGCTCTGAAGAAGCGCCCGCTGGATGTCACAGGTGCGTTGGGCCAGCAACAAAAGCTGCAAACTCACTGGAGGTGTCCCTTTCCAAAAGCTGTTCTTGCATCTGGCTGATTTTGCAGTCTGGATCTCGTGTGGGTCTTAACGTTGGAGAAGAGTATGGCGACGGGGCAAGGGGTGATGGTTTTAAATGAAAGGAGGGGAGATTTAGATTAGATATTAGGAAGAAATTGTTCACAATGAAGGTGGTGAGGGCCTGGTGCAGATGTCCAGAGAAGCTGTGGGTGCCCCATTCCTGGCAGTGCTCAGGGCCGGGCTGGATGAGGCTATGGGCAGCCTGGTCTGTGGGAGGTGTCCCTGCCCATAGCAGGAGCAGGATGGGCTTTGGGGTCCCTTCCAACCCAAGCCATTCTGTGATTCTATAATAGTTCACTAGTGGGTGATGCAGGTGTGTGCCAGCAACACAAGTCCTCAGGTACCCATCTATAGAGACAGCATTGCCAGCACAGTGACCTTTTTTTTGAGCTACATTTAACATACGTAGACAGATACAGATGTGCCACAGGACTGCTGTTTTTTTCCTGAGCATTTCTCTGATCTTCAGCAACTGGTGGTTGAGAAATAAGATTTCTCAAGGGTGATTCTCCTAATATACATGGGGAGGCCATAACTCATAGCTGTCTTCGTCCAGCAGTAAATGCTTTACAACCTTGGGATGTTTTTGGATTTGGGAAGATTGCCATTTTTCCTTGTTAAGTAATTATGTTGCAGTTTTAAAACATTTAAGGCTTTTTTACTTAGTATATATATAGCTGGTATTTTTGACTGCGTATTTACAGTTCCTTGTTGAAAAACAGCATTCTTCTGAGAGTGAAATTTGTAAAGAGGGCTCTGAATAAACTGGTTTGGATAGATCACTGTAAAGTTAATTCTTAGCACCATCTAGGGATGCCTCTGTGTAATACAGTGTGTGTAAAGCAGTAATGTGACTGCTTTTTTCTTTCATCTGGGTTTTACGGCACGCTATCATGATTCACCCAAACTCCAGGTGAGCTCTCTTTAGGTTTCAGGTGGTCCCGGGGCTCTGTGTCAGCACCTCTCAGCTTGTAAAGGGAAATGGGTTTCAAGAGCTATGTATAATTTGTATTAGATCTGAAAACTGAATTTACCTCTCGTATCTTGTTATATGTCGCATAGCTTTTAGGATAAATCAGGCCCCAGTGTCTGGCTGTGTGATCCCAGTGATGCCCTCAGAGATAGCAGTGGAAGCTCCTGCTTCTCTCTGGGCACAGACGTGGTTCTGGAAGGCAGCCTGGAGTCTGCCTGGAGAAATATCTGAGCAAAGCTGAGCAGGAGCAGAGCTGTGCTTGGTGCTGGCTCTGGGTGCACAGATGTGAATGAAGGGGGTTCAAATGTCTGTTGGAGCAGTTATGGTAAGAGCAGACTTCTGAGTGTAACATCACTTATAACAGTCCCTCTGCAAGGGTAAGAAATCACTTCTAATCCTTGAAGAACACATCTTCATGGAGTCAAAGTTTGAATGTAGTAGTTTTCCTACGTCTAGATAGTATACATGAAATCTATTATATTGTTGGCAATGACATGGTACCAAAAAAACCCCACCAAAAGACTGTTCTGCATGCAGTCAGAATGTTTTTTTTCATAGAGAAGTTCAACGTCAGCTGTTCAATTTGGTGTTACTCATTGCTGAGCTCTTGATAATGAGAAGCCTGCTAAATGCAGAGAGAGAAAAAAAAGCCAACCAGACATCTCTGATAATTTGTTGGAGGTCCTTGCAGTGATCAAAATAGCAATAATAATAATAAAAGTAACTAAAAGTAGTTGTAACAGTTGGTTTTTATTTCTTCTGGGGCATCGTAGAGCAGTTATGAGACTGCTGCAGCCTGAACCCTTGCAGCTGCTGGGAGATTCTTCTGATGTTGGGCAAATCCTGTGCCTGAGGGTAGAGGAAAGCTCAGAAAAAAAAAAATGTTTTAATTTTATTTACTTTCAAAAACAAAAAAAAGAGAAACACTGGAAGCTGTGCCATGCACAGGGTGAGAGACGTGAGGAGGGAAGTTTTCTGGCTGTTGCAATTCCATATTCTGGTTTTGTTTGTTGTTAGTTCTACATAATTAAGGGGAGGCTTTGATTTCAAGCTGGCCATCTCTGTGGTTCTGGCTGGCGAGTTCACAGGGAGTGTGTTGATAAAACATAGCGAGGTGAGAGGATTTTGTGCAAGTCCTGGTGATAACAGAATTATCCGGGGGCATTAATTTTGCTTTAGGTCTTCCAGTGAGAAAGTGGTTTGCTCTCAGAGTGGAGAAGACTTGCCAAACAAGAAGGCAGTGTTTTGAAGCGGGTTTAGTCTCTCTTAAATCCAGTGGAGTTTCACCTGGCTTTCTTTGAAACATCCCTACTGAAATGGTTCCCTTTGAGGCAAGTGCAAAGTCCTGCACAATTTGTGCTGACGAGGAGTTGGGAGGCTGATGAGGTTTAAAGAAACGTTCTGGAAAAATGATGCAGAACAATCCCACATAACTGCTGTTTGGCCTCTGCAAGCTTTCGTGTCTTTTATCATCTTCCAATTGTATTTAAAGTCACGAATGCTCTCTTAAAGAGAAATCCCCATGAGGAGAATACATAAATAAGGTAAGTAGGTGCTTGGAGAGGCCGTTTGAAAGTGTGTATCGGTGTTTTAAGAGCCCTGTGAAAATTTAAGGAGGAGATGGGGAGGAGGGTTGTCTTCCTCCAAAACAAAGGATTGAGGGATTGTTATCTGTCTGAATATCATCTCAGAGATTGCTTGTCATGCTAAAAGTTGGTCTTGGATGTGTTTTAGACTCTGCATGCAACAGTGCTCCTGGATCTGGTCCCAGCTCTCCAAACAACAGCTCCAATAACATCAGCACTGAGAATGGAATTACAGGATCAGTCACGAGTATTCAGGCGGAGGTACAGAGCCCTTCCTTTCTCTGAGTTTAACACTTGGGTTTCTAATCAGATTGCACAGAGGTTTAGGTGTTGGGGCGCACAGACGGGCGTGTGGAACACGGCAAACCCCAGATCATGACTTGGAGCAGACTTGGGGAATTACCTCTCGGGCTGGGCTGACAGGATGCATTACCTGTTCATTAAATCCAGTTTGAACCAGCTCAGGAGCTGCCTGTGGTGACTTGTGCTGGTTTTATTCTGAGTGGAGGGTAAAAATAGAGTGATTTGACAAGGTAAAACACGACGAGCATTTCCTGGTCAAGCACAAGGGTTTTAACATATCGGGCATCTGTTCTCATATATTGTATGTAGGGTGATCTTGCTCACAGGAGGTTGCTATGAGTATGGCCAAAGCAGAGCTGGATTAAACGGATTGAACTTTTTCTTCCCCATTTAGGGTTGAAAGTGTGTTGCCAGATACCGTGTGCTGAGGTTTGCAATCCCATAAGCTCCCACCATCACTTGAGGCATCTGCTGTCAGAGGCAGGGTGTTGGGCTGGGTAGAAGGGCTGGATTCAACACAACACTGTGTTTGGTCTTACTGAAGCCCACCTTTTCCTAAAGGGATATTATGGGGTGTAGGCCATGTTAACTGGCCCGCACTACAGGCCTTAGAAAACCAGGGTGGCTGTGTCACGCCATTGGGGCATTTCTTTTTATGCAGCTTGCCCTCAGTTGTTCTCCCTAATGAATATAGCATCTGCCTTACAAATTTTCCTTTTATTTTTATTCCTAATGCAGTGGGGAGGTGGTTGAGCCACCATCCCTGGATGTGGTGCTCAGGGATGTGATACAGAGGAGGGTTGTTAGAGTTAGGGTAATATGGTTAGGTCATGGTTGGACTTGATGGTCTTTAAGATCTTTTCCAACCTGAGTGATTCTATGATTTCATACAGGGAATATGCATCCCACTCTGTATTCTCCCCTGATGACTTATCCAAAACTTGTCTTCATCCACTCTACTGCAGATCTTAAAGGATTAAGTCGAGTACTGTGAAGGCTGAGCAGTCTAAGTTAGTCTTAGCTTGGCCCTGGAAACTGGTGGTGTTCTGACCAAATGTGGTTTTTTAGATGCACTCTGTTTAGTAATTTGGAGCAGATCTCAGAAAAGATGTTATGAGTGGGGTTGTTGGTTGGGTTTGTGAAACTGAAGGCTGGCTGAACAGCAGGCACTTCCTAGGTATGTAGCTGTTAGCCCCAGGAGGATATGAGTGCTCATCTACCAGCTTTGCTGATGCAGGAGCTGTCAATCTTATCTGTACTTAGCAAACTGCAAGCCTTTGAGCATCAAAGGCCACCACCTTCCCTTCACCTCTTTTTGCAGCTGTATTGCAGTGGCTAATTCACATCAATACCACTGCATGGGAGGAAGGAAGCACCTTGAGCTAAAATTTTTAAAAGAACAACATGTCATGTATCATTTTCTTATACAAAAAGCAGGAAGAAAATGTAGTTGTTAATCTCCCTGAACAGAATGCGTGGGGTGTTTTCACCTTTTCCTTTTTTTTTCTTTTTTTTTCTTTTTTTAATAATGAATATATAGCATACGAAAGATTGTGCAGTTCTAATGTAAAAGCTGACCAGGACTGCATAAAGTGTATTGGATCACTGCCATCATAGAACAGAATAAAGTATAAATCAATGTGTGATGGCAAACAGGACGTCGATAACCCATCGCACAAATTGTTCTCCCAGCATTTCAGGCATACTTGAATGGCTTAGCTAAGTGTCCTAGTTCCTGGCATCAGTTTGGGGGAAAATGGCCCTGCATTTTGTGTTGCGTGATCCTTTTGCCTGGAGAGGTTTATTTGGGAAGAACTGGATGTGGCAGGGTTTTGGTTTCTTTTGAATCCTCTTAGGTGTAAGAAATACTCCCTAGCAGCCTAGGAGATTTATTTGATACCAGCTGACCAGGCTTGCATTATGTTCCCACTTTTGTGTAGAATATTTGTTGAAATGCCTCTGAGAAATTAATGTTGGCAGCCTTCTGTTCTGTGCTTACCTTTATTTTCTAATTTTAAGTGAGAAGTGTGCCCCTCTGCTTGTTAGTTTGCTAGGTCACCTCTTGAACCATTCCAGGTATGTTGGAATGTGGTGTTGGACTTCATTACTTCATATGGACTTCATTGGCAGTTTCAAGTGCTTGCCTTCCAAATAGAAAGACTCAAGCTCTCTGCCTCCTTTAAAAAAGACAGTGCCTATTTTTAAATAATGTTTTTTAGGTCTGAAGTTTTTTTCTTTGCCTTGGAAAGGTACGTGATATTCATTGCCATTATAGCTGGTAGGAGCCTATAAAAAGTATTCGATTGCAGGGGAAAATTGTGCATGCTGAAATTGCTCTCTTCTGTGCAATTCTAACATTGTTTGTGTACAATCCAGAGATGGGATTTGTATATTTAAAGTGATGATAATGCTGCTAAATATCTTGTGCTTATGGTGTCGAGCTGCTGTTTTTCTCATCGTTGTTTTTAAAACAAATCCCCAGGAGATGGTTTGAGGCGCAACTGCACTTTATCGATTGTTCAAGGAGAAAATGGATGTTGGTTTATTTCGTTTACGGTATCAGTAAAATATTTCATTACTCTGCTGGCAGTAACTATCTTGCTCTCAACATGGCGTGCTAACATTTTGTGTTATTTAAATTAAAGGCAAATTGCCAGTAGTGTTCAGAATTACTCAAAAAAATGAGCGTGTGGGTATGCACAACCATACGCCCTTAGCAGGTACCATTCAACAGCAAAATGCTCCTTTCCAATTTCCTCCTTTGTGGCAGCAAATTTGTAACCGAGATCTTAAAAGCAGATTTACTTTTTAATGTATTTCCCATAAGCTTGACTGACATTAATGAAGGCACAATAAGACAAAGGGAAATAAAAAATTCACTCTGCAGGTGAAATTTTGCACAGTATCGTATGAAAGCTAAGCAGCTTTGCTTTGGATGTATGGAATTCAGACCTGGTTGGACGCCGGGACGAGGGGCTGCAGGTCTGTGGCACAGCAAAGATTGCATCTGCAAGCCCAGCCCAGCATCACATAAAGGTGAACTCACACAGTCGTGGGAAGGTTTGCTCTTCCTGCATGGGCATCTCTAACCCCAGCTCACAGAGTTGGGCTCTCCTATTGGAGATATCAGCTGGCCCACCAGAATCTCTGTGAACCAAGGAGGCAGGACTGCTTCTGAAGGTTGCTGTGCATTATTTGTTTTTCAGTATTTTTTCTTATTTTAGTGCTCTTTTTTTCCCCCCTGGTGGTCGCTGCAGTGATGTTACTCACCACGTTTCACCTTTTGAGGAGAAAAACAGGTTTTTGTTACCCAGAGACTGGCCCAGTCTTGCAATCAAGGAAGTAACCTGCCAAGTCCCATTTCCTGACATAACTATTTAGGTCTGAAATGTATAAATCCGTTATCCAGATCTCTTATACTATGGGAACAATGTGTGTCATTGTAACATACCAGATTAATCATTATTACTTTTTTTCCACAGCAGCAACTGAGATAAAACGATAGAAATTCCATAGAAAATCTTCCTCAAATCTAAAGGCTGTTTGATTTAAGCTGTTTATTTAAGTTCTACTGAAGCTGATTTAAGTGAACGGAACACTCGTTGCTTAATAGAAAAATCAGGCGGTTTAAAATAATGTAATTTTTATAATGGGCTTTCTACCAACTATTTCAAATCAATCTCATTTTGTAATTAGGCATTTCTGCTTAAGTGTTCCTGCTTTAAATGGCCGCAAGGTAATTCAGTAAATCTCACATTTCATCCTGAAAATCGGGGAATAGCAACATAAAAAGGCTCTTTGATGAAATTTTGAAGTCTGATTTAAGCTAAAGCACACTGGTAAATAGAATAAATTGTCTGTGATTTGCTAAAGAGAACAACCACCAGAGTAATGCCTGTTTTATTGTTACGGTAATCTGTTGTGGCTTTAGAAGGGCAAACACTCTATAGAAAGAGAAGTAAGGCTGGATCTGAAGCTCCCTCTTTCAGTATCCTCAGTGTTAGAAGTGACATTTCCTGCTCTGTACTCTCCTGATGGGCCCTCAGCTCCTGTGCAGTGTCCTCCCCCCCATCGGTGGTGCAGTCTCACTGGGACAGTGTTCTTCATTTTGTTTGCAGACCAGCCTGGCTCACCGACTGGTGAATCGTGAAGGCTCTGTAACACAGCTTCCACTCTACACATCTCCTTCTTTGCCCAACATCACACTAGGACTGCCTGCCACTGGCCCTTCCAGCGTAAGTGATGGGGAATGCGGGCTTTGCATTGGTGCTTCGTTTCTCCTTTAACCCACCCTGACACCGCCTGTGCGTTCGCAGGGAGGATCAGCACAGCAGGATGCTGAGAGACTTGCTATCCCAGCCTTGCAGCAGCGCATCTCTTTATTTCCTGGCACCCACCTCACTCCCTACTTGAGCACTACAACGTTGGAAAGAGATGGGGGAACAGCACACAACCCTCTTCTGCAGCACATGGTCTTACTGGAACAGCCAACTGCACAAACTCCCTTAGTCACAGGTGAGCACGTGGTAGATAATGTGCAGAGCCTGACATGCAGGGTCTTGACCGTTATCTATGTGTTTTGTTGGTTTAACTTACAAATTTGTAGGCTCTCCAGTGTATACAGTGAATACATTTCCAGCTAGGGTAACCACACCATCCAGAGGCAGGAGGAAGATGCCTTGTCAGTTTGGCAAAAGGAAATTAAATAGCATTAACTTGCTATTTCTGCTTTTCTTATGCACGTAACAACTGTAAGAATATCGTTCTAGCCACTGTGAAGAGGCAACAAAAATGCTGTGTCTTGTGATTACCCTTCCTGTTTATCACTGATGGTTTCTGTTCCATGTCTAACAGAAGCACTCATTTACAAAATCACAGATTAAAATACTGGCTTTTTATCATTATTACAAATGGCAAAAACGTGGCAAAACCAACTGCGTTCAAACAGATTGTATTTGTTTGTATATGTTACATTTGCAGTATGCTAATTGCTTTGAATCACTCCCTGTGTCATGTTTTCAGCATTAAATACCTGTGGGAAGGCGTATTTCTATAAATAGGGTTGATTCAAAGCAATATTTCCCAGTAGGACTCGTTTCTGTTTTACAGTAGTACTGGGACAAAGGATTTTCTGCTTAAGTTACAGACGTGTTGATTTTTAATTTCTTCATTCCATTTCTAATGGAAAATTTCTTGGGTGGTGAGGCCCTGACAGAGACTGCCCAGAAAAGCTGTGGCTGCCCCATCCATGGCAGTGCTCAGAGCCAGGCTGGATGGGGCTTTGGGCAGCTTAAAGGTGTCCCTGCCTATAGCAGGGGTTGGGGCTGGGTGGGCTATGAAGGTCCTTTCCAAGACAAAAGATCCTGTGTTTCTCGGAAACTACTGAGAGATGTTGATTGCTGAAACATTACAGCACTGCATTTGAATCGTGTCTGGTTTGGAATTCGAATTCCAAGAATATACATGGGGTTGTGATAAGCTTATAAGCATGTACATATGGAGAATCTGAGACACAGAGTGTGGCGTTAAACCAGCACCCTCCGAGCTGTGAGAGTGCTGTGTGCAGATTCCCTGAGCCTTAATGTAGTTTTCTCTTGCATTCCGTCATAGTTGTTACGATGTGATGTTGTGCCCAGAGTCATGACACGTCTCTTCACCAGTTGTTCTTTGATTGAGGACTGCTGATGAAGAGTCATTGCAAAAGACTTTTTCTCTTATCATATCACCAGAACTTTTCTCCATTCGTACAGGTATTTCCATTAAAGAGCTCATAGGGAGCGCTGTTCTGTTTCCTATTCCACCTCTCTCAAAGCTTCCATCTGTTTACAGTCTATTATGTGTATTCCTTCTAGTCCACCTGCAGTGTGTGGTGTTTTTAGAGCAAGTACAACTTGTAACAAACTGACACCAAGGAGAAATATTCACTATACAGCAGAGCAGCAACAAGAAGCACACGCTCCAGATGCAGCAGCTGAAACAGAGCAAGCTAACACGTGGTCTCGAAAGCCCTAAGTGGACTGGTTGCCAGACTACAGTTAGTACTTACAACTTCCTTGGAAGCAAAGTGGAGTTATTAGTATTCTGTTGGTAGCCTTCAGCTGTGGAGATAGTCTCCTGACTACTGCAAAATTATCCAGCACACAGCATGCTGGCTCCGTGCAGTTAGACGTGGGGATTCGGGGAAGCTAAGAGTCTCTGCTGGACAGTGGTGTGCTGATTTTATGAGCTTGGTATGGGTTTTGCAAATCTAATTTCTGGATTTTAGCTGGAGCACGGTAAGTGGTTTACCTTGCATAGAAAGTGGGAATAGAATCTAGGCAGTATGATTGTATCCCCCACTAGAGCAGATCTGGCATTGCTCCTGCACCCTGCCAGATTGACATGTATGTACTGAGCAGGACCAATGTGTCTTCCTTGGAAACCTTCGCAGGAGGACTTCGTTATTCACTTGGAGACAAGTAGTCTTCCAAGATATCCTGTAGAGTCATGAAAGATCCCTTCCTCAACTGTCTAACATGGACTTTGCTGCAAGGAAGATGGACACATCCTTTCAAATCATTCATATATTCACACACACGTATATTTATGTATGTATATACACGCACACACACAGTTATAAAATAAGATACTCTTTTAAACCATTCTCTTCAGAAAAGTAAAGGGCAAACTGGCCCAAGAAAAGAGGCTTCTAAATGAATTGGTTTCCTCCATGTAGGGCAGTTCTGTAAATTAACAGGACAAGGAGGCGTTGTCCTGGGCCAGAAGCTTGCAGGTGTTTCTGAACTGCTTCATTCAGCTGGCTGCAGACTTCTGTGCAGCTTTGCTCTTTTTTTCAACTTCTCCAAGCCTAGAACCAGGTCTCAGTGTTACTATTCGAGCAGTTTTTACTGTTTTATACAATGAGGTACTTTTTTTCCCAGAACCAGGTACAGCCTTATCCACGTCAGGGAGGTGACCATTCACACTAGTTATGACTTTCTGTCCCAAGGTGTAGCTTGCTTGCAAAGACTTACCCTCAGCAACTCCACCCTTGGGTTTGGCGTTGTGCTTTCTAAGAAGCACATAAAGGTATGTCTTACAAGAGCAGAGCAACAACTGGCTTACCAAGAAAAAAAAGAAGACAGTTCCTGCAGGTATGCCCTTACAAGAGCTCAGATATGTTTCACGTGGTAGTCATCCAAATTTCCCAGGGCGTATGAGTAACCCATGACATCCCAAAAAATAGCCTTGTGTTTTAGTTAAGTTACTAGCATGAATATACAGGACAGGGATGGAAATCTTTTTAACACTTTATCGTCTAAATTAACCTGTTTCTAAAGAAATAATGATACCTCTTGGCTCTCAAATTCCTGAAATGCATTCATGTTTTTCCAAAGCAAACACAGTCAGCAGTTCATCGCATGAATGTCTACATCCTTAGTCACTTCCACAGAGCAGTTATAGCACCACCATGGGCTTCCCTACATGATCTAGAGAGAGAACCAGCTCCATCATCAGCCATCGTCCTTCAGCACGTCTGAGAGCATTCTCTAAAGCAGAGCTGCTGTGTGCTGCAGGGCGGCAGCAAAGGTTGGTGCTGTCCTAGAAATGAAGCTGGGGTGACTTGCTGTACCAAGGCAAGTCGTTAGACTTCAGCTTCTCCTCAAAGCCATCACTGTGCATCTGATTGATGTCATCCACTGAGTGATAGGAGGGTCTGCAAGGTATTGCTGAATTTATGAAATATTGTCCAGGGTCTCTGAGTAAGCAGGCAAGCAAAGAATTTAAAAGTGTTATTCCATCCAGTGGTCATTAACGGTTATCTGTTCCCTTCTAAGGATACTTCAGCTGTAAATGGTGAGGTGGCTGGTTTTAACGTTATATGTTGTTGTCACCATCAGTGTTACTCAACAGCCGTTTTCTCCCTTCCTTTCTTCTTCCTTTTTTTCTTCTCTGCTGTTTTTTCCTCCATATTATCTTCAGACTGGTATCTTTCAGGACTGCCCCTCCATGCACAGTCTCTGGTTGGTGGAGAACGGGTCTCCCCTTCAATACACAAACTCCGGCAGCATCGCCCACTGGGGCGCACGCAGTCTGCTCCCCTTCCCCAGAACGCCCAAGCCCTCCAGCAGTTAGTGATCCAGCAGCAGCACCAGCAGTTCTTGGAGAAACACAAACAGCAATTCCAGCAACAACAACTGCACATCAACAAGGTAGGCACAACGCTTTTAAAGGCTCTCTCCTCACGTGGCATCAACTCGAGCAGTAGCCAGCACTTTGATGGTTTCTTGCGTTGTAACGTACGTGGTGTCTGACTCCATAACCAATTGGCCTTCATCTTTGAGCCTCTTTTTCATGATTTTGAGAAATACATCAACAAGGATGGGGGCATGCATCACCGCTCTGAGGATCGATGCCTCCCTTGCAAGCAGTGGGAAGCAGTATGATTGGAACTTTGCAGTAATACTTTTTAAAGCTGTCATTGTTTCTGTTCTTCCACATCTAGATCTTTGTCAGTTTTGTAGCAGAGAAGTTAAAAAGCTGTCAGGTAATATGGGAAAAATAACTGTTGTGTGTACGTTTGGTGTGAACAGGAGAAGGAGCGGTAATATGAATTTAAGAGAAAGCAGAGAGATTTCAGACATGACAAAACTAGAAAATGACTGAAAGGGAAGACTTCCAGACACACTGAGGCGTTTTTCACTGAGAAAAGAGAGAAGCTGTTCCCATCTCCAGTTTAGATTCTCTCAACTCTGTCCCTGTGTAAAACATGACAGGTTTCTATCCATTTCTTCTGAAAATGAGGGCTGTGTTGCTGTACATCCTGCAGAGATTGTTTTGGAGATTAATTAGAAGTGATTCAAAAATTACTTTGAAGAAAGAAAGCTCTACGTTTAATATCTCGCTTTCTGTGTATCACTTAGGCAACATCAGGTGAACACTGCAGAACACTTTGCCAGCGTGCAAGTTTTGCAGCTGTTCTGCAGCCCCAACTTGGGCATCCCAATGTTATGGATAAAGCTCAAACAGAAGCTGCTCTAGGGTGATTGCTTGGGCATGCATGTAAAAAGACAACATCTGTCCTGGTGCTGTAGCCCATTGGAGGGTATAGCTTGCTTTCTAAGGGTGAGATCTGATCACCAGTGATAAGGATGGAGCTGTGCCAGCTGGCCCCAGCTGAGATATTGTCAGAAGACAAAGTCTGTTGATAGACTTACAGTGTAAAAAACCTGTGAGGAAAGGGGGAAATAAGCAGCACGATATTTTTCTGGCTCTTTCATTGGTGCTGGTTCATTTCCAAGAAAGCATGGCTTTCTTTACAAATAGGCTTCGGGCTCAGGGAGACGAGTCAGACAGCAGACGTACACCTTTTGGGGTTGCTGCAGTTTAATTTATGGTGGAGATTTCTCCAAATATTTCCACTGTTCTGTCGTATGAGAAAACAGAACTACTGAGAGCTGGGTGAAAAAACCAGCAGAAAACAAGTTTCCAGTGAGGAGAAAGCAACAATTTAAAGAAAGCTCCCCCTGCCCCCCAAAGTGCTGTTTACGGACTGGAGCGAAGGCAGGATGATTACACAAGCTGCTGACGTCAGTCGTGTACTTCTGGATGGTGGCCATCGTGCACTGCGTGTGCCAGCCCTGGGCTCGGCTTGGCCCCACACACCAGGCTGCTGGGAGCTGCTGTCGCCAGAGAAGTTTCCCTTCCCTCCCTCCTGACACGCTCCGTGCAGCAGACGTTCGGTCTCGGGGCGCCAGGTAGGGTTTCTTTGTTAGGAAGTCCATTTCAGTGGTTTGTTTGTTTTAGTTTTCCAGCGTTCCCATTGCCAGCGCTTGCAAGTGTCCAAAGGCTCGCTGTGACGTACCTCCCCAACTCATGCAGCCTTTCACTCGGACCTCCCAGAAGCTGCAGAGCGTGCCGTTGGAGAAGCCTGAATTTCAGCTTTGTTAGCCTGGGGATGCAGCACATCTACGGGGGGAGCGCAGTTAAACCCATCACACGGGCAGTTTCCATGTGTTTTGATTTATAGAAGCAAGGAGTTAACAGCGTTTCGGTGCTCGCTCTGTATGTGTGTGGCAAATTTATCCCGTGGGACAGCATCCAAGTGCTGACACGGAAGAAGACTTTTCCCAGACACACGGATATTTTAAGACCCTTGTGTGCAGGAGCGTGAGGGCACAACTAAAAATAATGTAATAGATTGCTGCCTTTTAATTATTAGCAGAACTGATGGTGCTGTCTGTTCGGGTTGGGTTATAGTTCCTGTAAATAACATGACTGTTTTCAATTGCTTGTGATTTTTTAAGATTTTGGCCTTAAACTTTCCCTGTTTGGTATCTGCGTCGGATTAGATTTTAGCTAAAACAAGTCTTGTTGTTTCCAAAGGGGCAGCTAAGGAAAATAGGTAGTTTTGCTCCCTGATAATAAGAGTAAGAATGATCACCTAGGGGATTCTGCTGTAAAGCCTTGGTGCTTGAGGCTATGGAGCAGTAACCTGGAATTTGACAGACGTATGGGGGCTGCACGCTCAGTGTTCATGTTGTCACCTGGTGGTGACATTTCTGTTTGCTTTGAGGGAAAATAAAGCACACACAACTCCCCCAAAAACACCGTTCCCTTAAAAATGGAGACAAATGGAGGGCAGACAAGGAGCAACAAGGGATGGCTGGAAGGGGTAAAGGGCTGCTGCAGACCTGGCTTTCCCTGATGCTGCCCAGCCCTGTGCTCTGCCTGGGCTGCTTGTTGAGTGGCATAGAGCAGCTCCTCTCCTTTCCCTCAGTCAAGCTGCTGTGAGTTTGAGTGCAGTAACATTTGCAGGGATGATCGTGCCCCCAGTCCATACAGAGGTTCACCAGTTCCTTCTTCAGAGCCAGGGGTTGGTTCAGTAGAGAAGATTCTGGATGAGATACTGGATGACTCCTTGTTAACTGAGCTCTGTGCAACCTTTGATCTGAATGAGGCATGAGCCCTGGAACAGTAAATACTAAACAAGCCTGAAAGAAACCAACAAAAAAAAGCTACACATTAACACAGGTGCATTGGAGAAATGACCTTAAATTGCACTAGCAACACACGCCTGTGTTTCCCACCTTTTTTGCGTGTTTAACATTCAAACACTCATTGGGAATATTTGTGGGTTGTTTTTCATGGTCGGAGGAGCTTTGCTGGGGGTGAGGAATTGTTGTTTTGCTGTGAAGTAAATATATACAATGGTCCTGGCAGCATTTCATCTTCAGTAACAGTCATTTCTCTGCGGGCCTCGGTCTCTTTTAAGACACAATTTTAGCCTTTTTTATGTGTGAGAGGGAAGCAGTGTGTTGCTTACAGATCTCTGTGTCATTGGAGGTTGGCATCAGAGGGTATTTTTGTCGTGCCAGCCTTCTGGAGCCTGGAGAAGCAGGATAGTGTTCTCTGAGTGTTCTGAGTTAAAAGAATAGCTTTGCAGCACGATGGATCTTGAAGCAGCCATTCCCTTTCTGAAGAGAAAAATGCAAGTGCCAGAAGGCTCAACTTTTTGCTTTTCTGTAGTGAAGATGAGTGTTTTGGCATTAGTCCACCGAATGTATAATTCACGAAGCCTTCATAGATCAGATAATCTCCCTTTTAGTCCTGAATTGTACTGTTAAGCAGATTAACACAGAGCTTCTGTGGTCAAATTATGGTTCTCCCGGGTAAACCCCGTTTTTAGCACACTGGAAGGAGCAGTGTTTCTCCAGCTGTGGCGTATACATGGCAATGTATATATGCCAGACTACAGTGCCTTGACTTGTCTGTGGTGCAGCAGCGTTGGGTGGGTACGTTTTTACTAACACCTAGAATTTAACCTTGCTATTTCCTGCATTTTTCTTTTTTGGAACACGTCGGCTGTTTAGCCTCAAGTGACTTCTGGAGTGCTTTTTAATATATAATGTTCAATTTGTAGCGATTGGAAAAATACGCTGTAGATTGTATTGCACAACGTTCAGCTAGGGCTGTTATCCATTGGAAGCCTAAGGAAAACCTGTTTAGGAGTAGTCCCTACTCACTTATCACTCAAACGATTGCACTCTCTTCTCTTTACTTTCAGGCTGATGGATAAAGTAAGAAGGAGTTTTCATCTTCGTCAAGAAATGTGCCTGTTGCTGCATACATGCTGTTAAGGGGTTTTGCCAGGAGCCGTTGCTCTGTGGGCTGTTGTTGCAAAGCTCGACACACCTGATATAATCAAGTCCATAATCCCAATTATTTGGGGGAGGGAGGAAAGAAAACAGCTTCTGCTGTTGCCAAAGCATTTTTTTTCTTGCTTCCCTTCCTGTTCTCCTCCCAGACAGTCCCCGTTCTTTGGCTTGTTGCAGCTCAGTCGTTCCCTCTTGCCTAGGCACAGAGGTGAGCAGGCTGGTGGTCCTTCCAGCAGGTAGGCTGCTTCCAGCAGGTGGTGTTCTTGCTGTCTCATCACTTGACAGGATAAAAAAAAAAAAAGGAAATAAATTTTTCTTGGTTTCAGCCACTGCAGAACATTCTGCCAGCTGCCTGCATCGAGGCCTGTGCCCAGTGCTGCCTCTCCCCATTGTTCCATATCATCTCTTCTCTTTAGCCTATGAAAATAAAAACTAGACTTTCCCATTCTTCAGGGGAATACCTTGTGTGGGAAGAGTCAACCTTGATAGCCAGAAGAGGAGAGCTTGTGTTGCCAGTTTTGAGTGGTTAATTTGAGCCCTCAGCACTGTATTTGCTCCTCCAAAATCTTGTGTATGTGCCTGCTCCTCGCGAGATGCTTTGTGCCTCCCTGCTGGTGCTTCCCTTTTCCTTGAGCATCCCTGCTGCTAGTCGCTCCACTGCCTCTCAGTTTTCAATTCCTAGCTATATCCTTAACTCGAGTGACATTTTTTTTGCTTAGGATGCTTATAAGCTGATCCCTTATTGTCGCTTCATCTTCTCATTTTTACCAAAGCTGCCTCTCCAGCTCTCCAGAGTTGTTCTTCCTTCCTTCCTCTTTCATCTTCCAGCAGAGGAAGGAAAGGGAGGTTTCCTTTTCTCTCTTCCTCTGCGTGATTGATGTTAGCAGTGAAGGAGAGTGGGGTCCCAGCTGGTAACATCCACTGTTCCTCCCCATTACCCAAACAAGGAGGCTGCTCCGTCCCACTGGATATGCTCTGCCATTCCAAGCACAGAAAAGGGCTTGTTCTCAACAGTAATGTTGTCTGATCTGCCTTTCAGCATCTTCCTATCTATGCAAAGTTGGCCCACTCTACTTATCTAGCAAAGTGGAATGGGCTTTTGGCACGTTGTCAAGCATGATCTCTATGAGCTTGTTCTACCTGTAGATAACCCTGAATGGGTTGTATGGAACTGTGACAGTTTATCCTGAAGTTCAAAGGTGTGTGTGGTGCTTTCAGCCCCCAACCCATGTCCTGTACACGCCAGTCTGTCTGGCAGCCATGAGTATTCTGAGGACATGACTGATGTATTCCCTTCAGCAGGTATGCTGTATTCCAAAAAAACTGTTGTTAATCTGGTTTTTGAAAGCAGCCCTGTCAGTGATTCTTAGTTCTTCTAACTTTTCAGTAACTACAATGAGGAGAAACACCAGGTTCCTTTGTTGCTCTCAGAAACTGGCAGAGATCTTGAGATCTTCAAGTTTTACCTACAGTCATGCCCTGCTCTGTCAGCCTTTCATTTCTGAAAGCCTTTTATTTGTGTAGGATCAGAAATTTCTTCTGTAACTGCTTATCTTCTAAGGGACAGATTCAGAGGTGCACAGTTTAATCAGAGATTTCCAATAGGAAGCTTTGCTATAGAGCCTCATTGAAATGCTTCATCTCTGCATGTACTTCCCAAGGAGCTCTTCATCTGCCTCTTAGCATCAGAAAAGATAACGAGAAGCAATAGATACAGAAGTATGTAGTAGATACAACAGGTGCCCAGTGAAATTTTACTAACAAAGAACAGAGCCTCTTTTTAAAAATTTTCTATATGAAGCATTCCATGGAAAAATGAATAATTCTGTTTATTTCTTAATAATGCACGTGAATTGAGTTGTTACTTCTGTACTGAAGTAGTTATCCAAGAGTAGAGAGGCAGTGCCTTTCACTGTTTTATGGTGGCAGTGTGTCATTGCCAGAGGTGACAGTGTTTAAAAATAGAGGAATAACCTCACTGCAAAAGGATATGAAAGAGCTAAGTAAAGGGAAGGGGTTGTTTATGGTTCACTGCGTAATTGTTTACTATTTAAGATACATCTGTGACCATTTTAAATGCTCTCTTAACTTTATATTCATTCCCCTGCACTTAGATCACCATAGCTTTTCTTCAGTCGACATCTTGGTGTTGAGCATGTGTCCATAGGATTAGAAAAAAAGGAGGATTTTCAAGTCATTTTTAGTCATTTTATGGGCCTGGGGGGCGTGCAGCATTGTGAATGATGTGAATGATGTTTAGCAGTACTTCCTATGCAGAATTGTCCTTGAAGAAGAATTGGTTTGCAGCCGCTGGAGCAAGTGACATACCGACAGACTCACTTTATATCAGGACAGCAAACAGAATGTTTGAAATGACCTTGTCATGGACCACTTGATCTTTCAGCCCGCATTGTAGCGTTTTACAATGTGCTTTTCATTAAATTACTATGTCTTAATGGAATTTGAATAATTTTAAACTTCTAGGGAATTACGCTGCTTCTCATTTCCATTAGATTTGACAGTGACATTGTAAGTTATTTTACCAGCATTTAACTCACCTTGCATAGTTCATAAGTTGAAAAGGTATCAAGTTCAAAGCCTGAGAGCTGCTATCCAAGCAGAAAAAAGTCAATGGTGATTTATGGTGATTAAATTACCTTTAAGCCAGATTATATTCATCAAGCCTCGGTGAGCTTAAAGAAAACTGATTGAAGAACTACCTTTAGCTTAACGTGGCTAAGCTGTGCAGAGTGTGTAAATAGCCATGAAACTGGAGAGATGAGGGCTCTGTGGGGAAGAACCCACAAAAATCCTCAAAAGTTATCACAGAATAATTTAGATTTGCAGGTTTCTCTTGGGATCATCTACTCCAAACAGGGTCAGTTAGAGCAGCTTGCCCAAGACCACATCCAACTGGGTTTGCAGTATCTCCAAGGATGGAGACCTCCACAACTGTTCTTGGGCGCTCTGTTCCAGGGCATGACCACACTCACAGCAAAAAAATAAAAAAAAATAAAAAAAGAGTTATATAGTGTTCAAAAAGAAATTCATATGCTTTAATTTCTGTCCAGTGCCTCTTGTTCTGTTGTGTGAGTGAAACACACCAGTGTTTGTCTAGTTTAAATACTGCCAAATCTGGTCTTTCATCCACTGGCTTCTTTGCTCCAAGACTTCCCTGCTGGTCTCAGGGGCGTGTGATACCTGAAAGCCAATCGTAGTGGTGAAGAAGGCATTGAGTATCGTGCCCATGTCCATGTAACCAGGTCCTTTGCTCTCTTTGGCAGTGGGCCCACGTTTTCCCTGATCTTCCTTTTGCCTGTTTCCCATCATATCCCTTGCCAGATTCAATTCCAGGTCAACTTTGGGTTTCCTAGCATCATCCCTGCAAGATCATATGGAAACAGTGTTCTTGTGGGTCACCTGTCACACTGATGTCACACTGCACCAACACTTACTTCAAAGTAGCCCTCACCTACTTCTATCTGATCAGGAAGTCTACAGCAGCTTACCCATTACATAATTACATGAGCACCCATTTTGGTCTGCCTGCTTGTTTTTGATTAACTCCAGACCCATACCAACATGCAGAATTCCATGCATTACTGTTTTTTTCTCAGTGTAAAGGGCCTTCTCCTTACATCCCAACTTGTCCCCCTTAAACAACCAACATCCCTCCATCACAGCACTCCAGTCATTTGTGTTATTCCACCAAATCTCCATGCTTCAGGGGAGCTCACGGTCCTGGAACTGCACAGGTAACTCAGATCTTCCTGTAGTAGTACAGAGGCATTTCAGAGAATCACCCAAGTCTGCTAATTCCCCAGGACAGACCTGAGAGCTTTCCCCCCCAGGCTGTAGTGCAGCCACCTCCTTTATCACATGCCTGTACACAAATGGGTGCCACTTCAGCTGTTTTGTGGATTGCTGTTTTGTTATTTTCTCACACCACTTTATGTCCTTGGCTTGACTACAGTGTCCACAAGTGTCTTAGATGCTTGTTCAGGAATCACTCTCTGCCCTGGCTTTTCTAGGTTAGGCTGACTCTACCAGGTTGCCTAGCCCATTGAGAAAGCTCTATCTAGGTAGGTGGCTTCTATCTCTTCCAAGCAGCTGTTGACTCTCAGAGAGGACTCCGTGGTTATGGAAACTCACTCTTGCCAACAGCAGCCATTCAACCAGTCACTGACCAGTACAAGATTATTGGCTCTTTGTGACTAGGATGGATGGGCTGCACCCACCATACGCATTGGGGATCAGATGAACCCCACAGGGTTTGCCTTATGCTAAGCAAGATGAGGCCCTTCTGCATATTATGCTTCTTTCAGGAGCTGAGATATACAAAACTCAGCAATCTGCAAGTGCTAGAAAGCTCAAGCTCTGCATCCTCATCCTTACAGTGCTCTGATGATAAGGGAAGTTTTGAACCCCATTTCTGTGACACCCTCTGCTGTAGTTATGAACAGTTTGTTGCTGTCCTTAGTGTGATACTTTCAGGCAATTAATCCTTAGTATGGCCTTTTTATGCCTGAATCTTCTTTGAATAGATTTGCTGAAGTTACACGGCAGAGCTTCTCTTCTTACATTTAGGAAAAAAGGCTTAGTTTCAGATTTGAGTCAATGTTCTTCAAAGAATGAGTTACTTTTAAGTAGTCACTCCTGCATGTGTTCAATAACCGTGTTTTGATTTAGCTTTATTAGATTTAAAATCAATATTGCTTTTCATACCAATGACCTAATCCCTGTTAAAGCTCTGCCCTGACAGCTTTCAAAGTTCAGCACTTTTTTTATAAGCTTGTGAAACGGGTACAGTCTGAACTCCTTAAAAGAAAGGACATTAATCTATTTACCTCTGCGGGTTTAAAAATAGTGCACATACATTTTTGCTCCAAATAAAAATCATAAGCAGTTTGAGACCGGGTGCTGAGAATTCTGCATCACTGATCCATTTGCAAAACGCTTGGGCTTGTTGAATTACAGTGAAATTACATTGTTCCCTTTGTTTTAGCAGGCACGTTTGGAGAGGTCTGATTAGAATGATGCTCTTCTTGCAGTTGGTTTCTGTAAAGATGCTGTAAGTTTAGCGTCCTCAGTTTCCTCTTAACTAACTACAAAAGAGCACAAGTTTCGGAGGCGTCTTCAGGGAAAATCCTCACAGTTATTTACAGTAGTTTGTGAAAATTCTTGATAAAATTCATGGGATGATTGCAGAAGAAGCTGGACAAACAGCGAAGCAGAAGCCCTCTGAGAGCATTTGTCTCTCTTATTTTTTCAGGATTGCTGGACATGTTGGTGGTTGTTACGCTATTTGTGAATTCACTAGCATCCGTAGATGAGTAGGCATAAGAGGTTCTGATAGCTTAAGGGGGAAAATCAAGTGCAAACTAAGGGGCCTTCATTACTTAGGATGTAGTATTTCTTTAGTAGCGCTTAATGTTGAGACTAAACTGACCTTTCTGTTGCTTTACTGTTGCTTCAGACCTTGTTTATAAGATAAGAGCTATAGTTCATGATTTCTCTTTTCACGAAACTGACTCAGGAGAGCACAGTAAACTTGACCTGCAGTAAGTTACATTTTACTATCAATTAACCTCCTGGATGTTTGCAGATAATATCAAAACCCAACGAGCCAGCTCGCCAGCATGAAAGCCACCCAGAGGAGACAGAAGAAGAGCTTCGAGAACACCAAGCCCTTTTGGAGGAGCCGTACAGTGACAGGGTGTCGAGCCAAAAGGAGGTCCCAGGGCTGGCCAATATGGTGCAAGTGAAGCAAGAACCCATCGAGAGCGATGAGGAGGAAGCTGAGCCGCAGCAGGAGCTGGAGTCTGGGCAGAGGCAGGCTGAGCAGGAGCTGCTCTTCCGCCAGGTGAGCTCAGAATGCGCTGGGGGCTCCTGGAGCTGAGGTGTTTAGCAGCATCTGGAGTGACAGGTTGAATCTGTGTACGCTATTGTGGATGAAAGTCAAGGAGATAACCAGCCCTCACCTCACAGATACTTACAGCTGCTAGGAGAGGGTGTCAGAAATCTGTTAGTTACAGACCCCAATTCCTGAAAAATAGCTTAAGATTTTCCCAGCCTTTCAATGGCAGTTTGTAATCATCGTATCAAACTTCCCTTTTATGTGTAGAGAATGGGAAGGTTAGTACTAAACTAATTGGACGTACTTGCCTTGTGCTTGCAGACACATCCCTAAGTGTCCCAGAGAGGACAGGACTTGGTGTTTGTGAGGGTGATGATACAAGCCTCTGGGACAGAGGGCGGTGGGAAAAAGCCTTGCAGGAAAGCAGTGTAATTGTTTTACAAAGTAAATCCTTTATTAGCCAAATCCGAAATGGTCACTCTGATTTTTGTGACTACTCCTAACATTTTTTGAGCACTAAATACTATCAGAGAAATTGCTCATGCGAGGGATCCTAGCAGAGGATTTTGTTTTATGATTCTAACATTCTAAAGCAAATTGACAACTGCAGAGGAGGGCTAGATAAGGGTTGGAGTGTCAAAGTGATTTTTTTGGAGAGGATTCCTTCTTCAGCACTGCACATCCCAGAGATCACAGGTGCGCTCCCTTTTGATGGGAAAGACCAGAGGCTTGGGATTAGAAGCATAAAATCCAGTAACCGTGTAGTATGGCATTACCTCCCAATTACGTGGCAGTCTCCCAGAAAACACTGTGGTAGCAGTAACGAGTGAGAAAGTTACAATTCTCTGGAGGGACCTGAAGTGCTCAGCTTGTCATTGCTGCCCTTAGTGCCTGACTGTACCTTGAGCCTCGTGAACCCCTGCACAGCCCCTGCAGCCAAGAACAGATTGCTGAAGCACTGCCAGGGTGTAGCTCTCAGAATAAATCCACAACCCTTGGCTAGGGAAGGCAGACTGGTGCCAGGCTTGCTGTTGTAATGTCTGAATCAGGTGCAAATTGCTTGCTCTGCATAGATGTTTGCATTGAACTGCTTGCTGCTGTCTCCCTGGCACTGCAGGGCTGGCTTGTGGGCCCCACATGTCACTGCCTGCAGCTCAGGGACATCTTCAGTCCCAAGTTGAGGAGCATTCTCTTCATAACGGTGCTGCCTTGAGGGGTTGATGCCATTGCCAACCATGCTTGTGCAAAGCAATCTCCTAGATTTATGCAATCACATGTAGGCCTCGTTTCTCTAGTAAGAATGAATAAATGAACATGATGTGAAGTGCTGCTGATGTTGGACCTTCTGTGAGGCTACCTTCAGTAGCTACCTGCTTCTCTTCCCCACAGCAAGCCCTCCTGTTGGAGCAGCAGCGCATTCACCAGCTGAGAAACTACCAGGCATCGCTGGAGGCAGCTGGGATGCCAGTCTCCTTTGGAGGCCATCGGCCCCTGTCCCGTGCACAGTCCTCACCCGCCTCGGCCACCTTCCCTATGTCCGTACAGGAGCCACCCACTAAGCCAAGGTTCACTACAGGTAATGTTGGAGAGTGCTGGAAACCAGTCGGTGGGGCTGTGGTAGCTGTTCTGCTTCACGTTGTGCTTTTCTGTCCCCTGTCCGAGGGCTGAGTCTCAGCTGGCTGTGAGCTCCGTAACATCCTGTCGTCTTTGAGAATGTGATTGGTCATCCTGTGCCCTGTTGTCCTGCTTTTGCATTCCTTTGAGGGACAGACACCCTGTAGTCCAGACAGAAAACAGTCTGCAAAAATCAATAGAAACATAGCGTGGTACTTTAATTATGTATCTCCAAAAAGAAGAAAAAGAAAAGGGCAAGTCATACACTGTGACAAGGCTGATTTAGGTGCAAGGAGGAGGAAGGCAATGTTACTGACGAAGGACAGTGTGCCAAAGGCAGTATCTGTCGGCTGTATTTTCTGCACCTTCTCCAGTCCCTGCATAATCTCATGCCATAAGTTATCCAGTTTGGGCTTTGTGCCAGACTACCCTTCCTTCCACAGCACTCTGCCTGGGAGTCAGTTGCCTGTGGGTTAGGAAAAGCGAGGCGAGTTGATCATTCCAAGATGTCAGTGTGGAGGAGCAGAGGGAAGAGCACTTTCATACCTGTTCAGTCTTCATCTCAAAACAAAAATTATGAGTGCAATTCTGTATTTGTCTCACGAAAATCAGAAATGCAAAAAGATGTTAAAAAAGATGTTAGTCTCCCCACAAAGATTTAAGGTCAAGAATAGCTATTCTTCCTAAATCAGGCAGGGCTTGTGAGTGCCTTTTTTCCATCCAAATCTTTTCTGTCTATTCATAACAGATAAAAGTAAATTATGTGCAACTTGTCAAAACCCACATTAGGTAATTAGGCAACCTTATTTTGAAGGTTCTGCCTTCTTCCCGAGATGTCGAGCTCTTATTTTGTGAATGAACATTTTGCCATCTGATATATGCCCTGAGGAAAGGAGAAAAAAATGCTGCAGTAAGGGCAACTCATGATCTATCCATTTAATCTTATTTCACCCACTCTTTTTTTGCATCATTAAAATCAGCACTGTGAATTAGATACTGATGGGATAGTGATAGTGATGCATTAAAGCTGGCTTTGTTCTGTAGCTGTTAATTGCTGGGTGGGAGGCATGTGCAATCAGCTCTCTAAAAGTCCAGGTAGTAGCTAATTTTTGAAAATCAGCCTTTCAAGTCTCCATCTGCTGCTAATATTTAAACTTTCAATTTTAGCAAAAATACGTTTCCAGTGTAGCCAGTTACAGCACCAAGATTATTCTAGCTTTTGGCTTTAGCCAGGAGTGTAAAGAAAGGTAATCCTCCAGCTCACAGTCAAACCAAGGTGAAACTTGAGCATCTAACACTCCTAGTCCCAAACCTTGCTCCTTTGAAAACAAATGGAAGCATGGCCCTACTACAGGAGATTATTCATTCTTCTCTCTCTTCCCTTCACCTCCAGTACTTAAGTTGCCTTGTCAATCATGCACAAGACTGAATATACAGTAACATTTCCTACCAGAAGATGTATGTGTCACTCAGATATGTGCCTCTGAATTTCGTTAAAATTACATCAGAATGTGACAGGAAGTACACAGGTCTGGAGAACGATGCTGCATTGGAAGGACACTGGTGGAGTGTTATGATTTGTGTTCCTTATAGGAAAGGTTACAAAAAACGGCCTACATTAAGAAGTAAAAAAAAACCCTGCATTGCTTTTATATGGTGTTGTACATGTATTTAAGCCAGTGCAATGACGTGCACAATGTACAGTCTATTTCACCTGTTAAACTTCCTTTTTATGGCATTTATCCATGTCCAGACTCCAAGGGCTTGATTTTTCCACTGCCTTGCATCTCATGCACGTCTCTTCATTTACAACAGATAGATGGAGGAGGGAAAACACAATTAATTGCTGCCAAGAGAGAAGGTGGTTCTTGGCATTCGCTGGCACTAGTAAATTTGAAGCCCTCTGCACACTCAGGCTGGCAATCTCTTGTTTCCTTCCCTTTTTAATTCCCAGAGAGAGATCTTTCAGACAAGCAGAGTTACTGTATATCCCACATGCATTCTTACCCAGGCAAAGGACTTGTTTAGTTAACCTGCACTATTTGCTGACAGTGACAGGAAAGAGAGCCTACTGCTCTGAGCACAGAAAGGAAAGGCAGCTATCTCAAATGTTGAGCATGTGTGCGCTACTAAGGCTGGTTCTGTTTTCCTGAAGCAGTCTGTAGTCTATCAGTGATTGTGTTTTGGAGGTGGATACTAAAGCTTAATCGCTGGGATTGAACTTTTCTTTGAAAGGCAGGAAATTAAAGCCTTGGGGATTTTTCAAAGCAAGTGATGCCGAAGTGCATTGGGCTTCTTTTTCACTAGGAGAACCCATCTGTTTGATAAGTGGCTGCTTTGGAGATTGATTCCAACACAAATATGTGCTTTGGATTTCGGAGAAGTTAAGATTTGAATTCTTGTGATCATTTGGTGGGAGGGGTGGAAAAACAGGCCTCTTTCAGTGGCCCTAATGAAGCCAGCATGATTACGCTAGACACAAATGTGGCTCCTACAGATCAATTCTTGTCCAACAAACAAAGGGATAGTTCCTCACTTTCACTTTCAGAATACTGTACAGAAAAGGGCTAATGCTTTCTCTGGGCAGAAGTAGGACCAGATAGCCTGTAATTCTGTTCTTGATGTATAATTTGTTTTCCTGTCTCTGCCAGTGACTAGTACCTGAGACTTCAAAGGTAAAGAAAAACAGCAACACGATGTACTTACTACTCAAACATGATGTGTGTTACTGCACATGAAAGTGAAAACAGTGCCCTTCCTGACTTCTGCAAGCAGTTCATTTTGTATCCTGAAGCATGGCATTAAATTTTCCTTCATAGCAGAATATGAAAGAAAGTTAGTTGTTGAACTTGCCCTCACTAGCATGAATAGCCCCCTGACTTTAATGAGTACTTCTGCATGCACTGTTCTACACACTTCAATAGGGCTTCTCAGGTTAGGCCATTAATTTGCATAGCTCCAATTATCCAGTCTCTGATCTCCTCTAAAAACGGCACCACAAATTATTCTGATGTTCTGCTTTAAAGTATTTTTCTTTTCTGATGAAGGCATTTGTTCTCTCCTGTGCAGAGTGATGTAATTATCTGAACCTCAAATCATATGTTTGTTCTGCCAGGAAAGGCGAGTTGGTTGTAGTGTAGTGCTGACCTTTAAAAATGATTGTCGTGTCTGAAAGAGTACTGCTTCCAACATCACTTACTTTAACTCCTAATGGCCAACGTAATTAAATATTTTAAGCTTAAATTATCAAGATTTCCTTTGTGTATATGTCTTCATCTGAGTGTCCACGGCCACAATGAGCAACTTGGAGCAGTTCCCTTCTCTTCGCTGAGAGGTGGCTGACTGCTGTTATCGGTGAATCTTTGGAGAAACTTCATAGCTCATCCAAGCTATATAAACCCTGCTGTAGTGCTGCAGTTCCCATTAACTTCAGAAATAAGGACGAGTAGGCATCCTACCACCACATTTTCCAAAACCTTTTCCTTTAACTCCTTTTTCTATCTTGTATTTAACAGGCTCGGTTAGTAAAATCCATTTTAGATGTACAGATGCATTTTAAACACACCTGCAGCTTTCTGGCATTTGCAGATGTGGATGAAGAGGTGCTGGTTTGTGTGGCTGGGGATCAAGCCCACAGGTGCTTGTGTTTGCTCTCCTCGTTGTGGCACTGAATAAGGTGAGCTGGTAAATGCCGCTGCCTGGTTCTGAGCTGACACCAGGCTCCTCCAAAAAAAACTGGGATTGGAGGATGTCAGGAGAGTGACAGAAGAGTGTAAGACATTGCAAAAATCTGAATTTTCCTTTGTTTTTATCACTGGTTTGATCTGTGTTGCATTCTGCCCTGCCAGTGCTACCCAGGCATGAAACAGAAGCCGCTGATCTGGCCAGATATTGTTTTGTTTGCATAGCTGGGGTTACATCCTGATGGTATTAGAGGAGTTAATATTTAAACCTTAGGAACTTGGGAAAAACACCTTTAAAAAGAAGCACAAATTGCAACACAGACTCTCATACTTAATATTTAAGTAGTGCTGGACCTCTTCCCCAACTGTGCAGTGCACTCAGTATAATTCACTGTCAAGATGTGACGAGTTCCTGAGAAGCCAAAAGATTTGTCAGAATTACAATCTGGGAAACTAAAGACTGCTTAAAAACTACTCACAGCTGCTTGGAAATGCTTGATTCTTCCTCAGATTCTAAGGGCGTGATATTGAGCTAGCCTCAGGCTTAGCTGCAGGATGGAATGTCCTTTCCAGCTTCTAATTCTGCATGTTCCTGTATTGTATTTTACTTTCTCAATTTATGAGTGAATTCCTGGTGCACTCTCTCACCAGTTCTCCATGCAGCATGCTTTCCTCTTGCCCTTCTCTTTGGCCATCCCCAGAGTGCTTCACTTGTTCTGTCTTTTTGTGTTTGCTTGCAGGCTTCTCTGTATGCTGTCCTCACTGCTGGGGAGTGGTATTGCTTTGGTATTTTTTAATTGCTTTTCCAACTAGTCATTATTAGTAGAAACTGTTGATTACACATGACAATATTTTTTCTAAACAGTTCCAAACAGCTGACTTTAAAGCTTTCAGGCTGTGAGTAAATCCCCACGTTTGCTTGCTCTGTAGAAAGTTAAGCTTTGAGCATTGCCAGCAAGAACATCTCCAGCACGGGATTCCAGTTGGACTTGCTGTTCTGTCATTTACCAGTAACCGAGCACTGGCAAGAATTGTGTGTATTCCTACTGTGCTGCAGTACAGCCTGTCTCTGGCAAGGGAATGCAATGCACATGTCAGTGCCTCGAGAAGTTACCATCCTGACCCCTAAAGCAGGATGGTCCTGCTCTGAGTCAAGGGTGTACACAGGCAAGTCAGCAGCGAATTGCTTGCTGCTCATGCTTCTTTTTGCTTAAACTCAAGGTTCATCCTGTCTTAATGTATATGTTCAATATATACATGTGCACTCTTTTGCTTCAAATGTGTAACGTGCAGTTGAAGCCCCTGTAGATGTGTCTGGAAGCCAGAGATGACAGAACTGCTTTCCTTTGTTTAGTATCAGCACTTTACCCAAACCCAGTGCAGTCTCACGTGATCTTGGAAGGCGCCTACATGGAGACCTTTGGGATAGCAAATACTTAGTCAAAGTACCTGACATCCCCTGAAGATGACTTCATTAATTAACCTCAGAGGAAAAGTGAGCAGTTACAGACCTCACACTGGTCTAATTAAACTGGAGGGGTTTTAAGGACAGTTAGCCTTACTGCTGGTCTTCACTTTCTCCTCGGATGGCATTGCAGTGCTTGGCTTTGCCCAGCAGCTCCTGATGGCATCTGATGATGAATCAAACAGGGGAGCCCTTTACAGAGCACTGCGGCACAATCTTATTTAACTGAACTTTGGCTAACCCAGAGCCCATCAATTCACCAGCACTCCATTCCCTTCCTAGAACTGAATGGGTTGTGTTGTTTTGCCTTTTTTCCTTTGTGCTCACCTACAGCCAAGCAAGGAGCTGCCAGGTACCTTCCCTGAGGCACAATAGCTGAGTGTCAGTGCCAGACTTTGCCTCAGAGGGGAGGGCCAAGTTTTGCAGTGGCAGAACATGCCTGCACTCAGTCAGAAGGTGCAATTTCAGCTCCGGTCAGGCCTGCTAGCTGGGGTTTCGTGCCCCGTGTGTATTCAGTCCTCTTTGAACTCCTTGCAGCTGCAGATTGTGCTGTTTATCAATACTTCAGCTGCTCACCTGAGGCTGGCTCAGGTTGGCCTTGCAAGCTGCCCTGGCGCTGCTAGGTCCAGTGGGATTTAGGAGGATCAATGCCTGGCTGAAGGGAGGGGGAGATTGAAACATTTCACTGCGTCTTTTTTGCATAAGGGAAGAAAAATGTTGTGTCACCAGAGTGTGTAGCTAGGGAGGAACTGCTGGCTTTGTTCTGTGAAACACTGGCAGTGAAATTGCAGCTCCTGTTCCAAAACTGCACCCGGGCAGCTCCAGAGCACGAAGCAGTCTCCTACGCTGCTGTCATGCCATAAATAGTTGCAGTGCAAGGGGATTTAGCTAAATACCTGCATATCGTGCTGAATAATTATTCCCAAGTGTGCTCTAATAGTCTTAATTAGCGTGTTGCCAAATAATGTTGATGCGAAGACTTCAGCACATACTATGTTATAAAACATAGTGCCTGCTAACGACTTATTCCTTCTTGTTTTTAATCCCAAGCCCTAGAGTCATTTTAGCAGCAACTATTAAAGTACCCAGCCGACGAGTTTGAAGTCAGTCCCCTTCTAAATCATGTTCCAGCTCTGGCACACTGCACTCATACCAGTGCTGTCATTTGTCACCTCCTTCTGTCACTGTCACAACCTCTGCCTGAAGTGATGGTGGTGACTCTTTCCTGTATCTACTGAGATTTCTAAAGGAGGGGATTGCTGTAGGTTTGGTTCTGTTTCAAAGCAGCTGCCCATCTCCTTTCTTGGCACCTTAGGCTGTCATCTCTTAGAGCTCTGTGGCTCCTGGTGAGACGTGCAAGTATTCAGTTGAATGCAAAGTGCTGTAGACCAAAAGGGAAGGGAAAAAAAAGAAAAAAAGATTTTTTTTCTTCCATATATCTGGCAAAACAGTTTCGTTCAATTAGATAATTTTGTAACTTCTGCTGCAGGCCTTGTCTATGACACCTTGATGCTGAAACATCAGTGTACCTGTGGAAACACAAACAGCCACCCGGAGCATGCGGGGAGGATCCAGAGCATCTGGTCCAGGCTGCAGGAGACAGGTCTCCGTGGCAAGTGCGAGGTAAAATGAGCACCAGCAAGGGGGAAGGGTGGTGGGCCTGGGGGAGAGAGCATCTGGTTTGCATGGTGGGTTGCACTGGTGGATTACAGGCAGCTTTAGGGGCCAGGTTCTGGTTTGGAAAGTAATGTGTGTGTACTGAACCTGCAGCTTGGACTGCTGATTGCTACCTGGATGTACAAACTTTATACTGCATTCCAGCTTTATCATTTTATAGCTCCAGCTGTTGGCAACGTTTGGCCATATGTGGCTTAAATTTAACACCTAGATGACGTTAATGCTTGTGTGTTTGCTTGTCAGGAGTGCTTCTCTAGCAGTCCGATTTCATTGCATTGCAGTGACTGTTAAAATTTTGTGAGATGCTGGAGAAGGCTCTTGCCTGATGTAAACTGTAGAGTTTGCAGTGAAGCTTCTCATGTAACTTTCAGCCCTATTCCCTGTAACCTGGAAGTCCTTATCAACTGTTAGATTTCAAAATGGCCAAATAGAAGAGCAGACATGAAGTCACCATCTCATTTGATATCGCTCCAATCATAACAGGAGCTGTGGAGCAAAAAGTTTATTTCTCAGAGGTTTATTAACTTTTTTTTAATACTCTGGTAATTAATGATCAGCCTACAGTGAAAACACTGTGAAAAGAATGAGGGTAGGTGGATGCAACTAAATGTTGTTCCTTCACGGATGGTTGGAAAAGCAAAGTATGTGAAAGTTGCTAAGATAAAAAGACTAGTGTTTAGAAATTATTATTCATAGCTGGTAGTAATGATGATAAATTAACAGTAGGGTTTGTTCATCAGTTCTCCGAGCATCTGAGGGGTTCAAATCACACTGCAAATATGAGTTGTGTCAGCATCTGTCTGGAAGGATTTTCTGAGCAGTCAAGAAATACATCCACGTGGTGGCAGCATTGCCATTAGATAAAGCTCCCCTGTCATAAGCGTGTTTATCCCTCAGCAGAGTAAGGAAGAACTTCAGAACTGTTTCAGTCTATGGAGACCCGTGTAAGTGAATTCTGGGATTATGGTGTCTGGCAAAATAAACCAAGCACCTCACTGCTGTCTAGCTCCTCTGGTTAGAAGTAGTGTTTAATTCACACTATGGTAATTGCCTTGTCTCCTACAGTTCTGTAGTGTGTGAAGTTCTTCATCCCAAGCAACTGTTGTTTTCCTGAAGTTACTTCAGGTTGGTCTGGCAGTAGGAGCTGGATTTGATGTTCCCCTGCTTCCTACCTGTGTGTCCCTCGTGACCACTGGTGAAATTCAGCTTCATTTTGACTCTTCCCTTCTCTGAAAGCGTTGTAATGCTAATTTCCTACCTGCGATCCTGTGTTTCTTTCTCTGCTGTCTTTCCTAAAGATCTCACCTGCCCTTTCTGGATACCTAGTCCTGTTTTTCTCTCATCAGCTTCCCCGTTCCTTTACACCTATTGTCCCCTACTCCTGCTCATACCCACATTGAAATTTTCTTCTTTATCCAGGCTTTGTGGGCACAGCCTTTCCCTCTCTCTCCATCTCCTCTCTCCCTCCTTGCTTCAGTGTTCTGTACTTGATAGGGTTTTTCCTGCAGCTGCAGACACTCGTTCACCTTCTGTTGTCCTTGACCAAAGTAATTCACTTCCATGTTGCAAAGCAATTTAGTCATTCCCTGTCCTAGTACTAGGTCTGTGGCAACTGCAGCAAGTCAACAGCAGCACCAGGGTTATGGCAATCAGCAGTTTGCCAGGTGTGTACATGCCTTTTCTCCCTCAGCTCCTCTTTTATTGTGTTACATTTTAGCTGGCATTGGTGACACTTCTGTGTGCACTCACTTTATATTCACTGTTGCAGGTCTTGTGCCACAGACATTATGAGCCAGTTAAGTAAGCCCAAGGGCCCGATGTGAAAATTGTTTGTGATTATTTAGTTAATCCATTTATTACAACTCATGTCTGTAAAAGGACAGTTTGAAATTGGAAGTTTCCTTATTCTTGCGTTTCCTCTTGCTTCCTGAACGGCCTTTTGCTGTGGTCTGGTTGTGGGTATAATTTGATTCTGTTAGCAGCAAGTGTTTGATAGAAATGCATTAAAACAGCACCCTGCATAGCACATAATCCTATATACTGTGTATTGATCATGCAGCTCCACTGGGGCCTCCATTCCTCTTCCAGAAGCAATTCAACACTTGGTCCCCACACAACTGCGTGCTCTGTTTTCTCATGCGAGCTTGAGCAATTCTCTGCGTCTGTCACCTGGAAGTTTTCTGTTGGTGGTTCTGTTGTGCACACGCCTCGTGCCGGGGAAGGACTCACAGATAAATATTGTGTTATGCATGCAAAAAAATGCACGCTTTGAAATTTCAGAAATGTGGAAAACCCATTTTCATCAAGCAACCCAGGGGCTCCTGCACAACCTGCCAAGGGCCGAGTTCCTGTCATTTCTCTTGCAGGCAATAGAAGGGATCCAGAAGGGGCATGAATATTTTTAGAACAGAAAAAGCACAGCGCTTCCCGCCCACCCACTCCTCTCATTTTTCAGCAGTGAAACAGATACGTATTTGCTGAAGTTATCCAAAAACCATTTTACATCCAGCTGAGGGGAAGATGTGCAGCAGATTTGCAGTGTGATAGGTAAAAGTCCAACAGGTTTACATGAGTTTAAAGATGACCCTTTGGAGTGAAAGCAGTTGTCCAAGCTTAATGACATCTGTGGCTTTAGAGCACGACTTGTTAAATTAAGTTAGCTTTATAAAATATGGCAATTACTCTGGTGTATGTTCAGAATTTAAAAGCACCAATTATACTAATTGAAGCAATCGCAATAAAACAGGCTCTCCCCCAAACGAGAACCCACAACTGTTGTATAGCATAATCCTCCCAGCCTTCATCAGAAGCACAGGAAATCAATAGGTTTTGTTGTGCGTTTTGGATGTAATCAAACCCTTGGACTGCTCGACCAGGATTGAGAAGAATTAGTTCCTGAGTCAGAGTCTGTCTCTAGGCACATCTTGGCAGCGATCCTGTGCTGTTCAGAGTACGAGCACTGCTGGCTGAAGCCCTCGGGTTAATTGGAGCTGCAGAGGACAGACGTGAAAAATAGAGCTTGGGCTGAGCCATCTGCTGGAGCGGAGATGCACGCAGAGATCCTGACAATGCATGGTGCTTGTGTTTGGCTTGAAGGCACGATCGGTCGCTGCTCCGACACCGCAGAACTGCTGGGCATCAGCTGTGCACCAAAAAATCCTCATTGCAAAGCACTGAGGTGGTGCCGGTGCCTGGGGAAAAGAAAAAGCTTTGTTGCCATTTCATGGCTTTGTGTGGCACAGAGGGAGGGGTGTAGGTGGGACAAGATCTGGTTCGCTGTTTCTCAAGTTTCATGTTCTCCCCTATTGAAACATCATGGGGTGAAAGGGTGGATAAAATGCAAACCTGGCATTTAATGGTTTGAAATGAGGGAAAACTAGCTAAGAAATAGAAGGAAGTGTGTCAAGCAGTGTGAGAGATGTTGTGAACGTCAAGTTCCATGCAGAAGAAGGCACAAATAAAGTGGATAAAGAGTTGCAGAAGGGTTAAGAGTTGTAAAGCGTGGTTCTGACAGCCAGGGAGTTGGTTAGACTATGGGGATGTTAATAAGAGTGAGAAGCTGGATAGAATCATAGAATCGTTTAGGTTGGGAAAGAACCTTAAGACCACAAGTCCAGCCATCCCCAACTGCGAAGTCCACCACTAACCCGTGTCCCTAAGCACCATACCTGCACATCTCTTAAACAGTTCCAGGGATGGGAGCTCCACCATCTCCCTGGGCAGCCTTTTCCAATGCCTGAGCACCCACTCCTTGAATATCCAATTGAAAACTCATCTGGCAAAACGTGAGACCATTTCTTCTCATCCTAAGCACTGCGAAGTCTCAGGACTAACCAAGCATCATGACTGAAAAGGCTAAGAGCTCTTGAAGTGAAGAACTGCTCAAATTTGGAGCACAGACAGCACACTGAGTGACATGTTGTGATAGATTTGGAAACCCATCACCCGCGTCTGAGGAATGCTTTGTTCCTTCTTTAGTCTGAGTGGGAATTGAGTTCGTTTTCTGGGTATCTTTGCATTAGAACTGAGGATCAAGATTTTGACATGTGAGCTGAGAGATAAGAATGGTGCAGAAGCATCTCAGGCACAATCCTTCACAGTCAGTGAATACTTGCTTTTTTCAGTTAGGAGTAGCTTTTTCCTTGCATGCATTTTACTGGAAGCACATAAGAAACTTCTCCGTCCTCTTGCAGCTCCCATTCCATTCATACTGCCAGGGAGGTCCCCGCACCCTGATGTTGAGCACAGACCTTTGATGGGCTTGTAGGGCCACCTCTGTTAACCAGGAGCATCCACAGAGGACCTGGCACCTTACTGCAGTGGGCGGCTGTTCTTGTGCATCCACGGGATGCCAAGAAATACAACAAACTATTTCTGTCTGTCCGCTAAATGTAGCAGCCGAAAATGGGTCAGTACATCTCGTTCAAAGGGAAAGAATTGGCATATGGGCAAAAGGGAAGCTGTAAAAGCCTCTAAGGGTAACTGAGAGAGGCTTACCATGAACAAAAAAGGAAGACAGGATGAAAGCTCAGGGGGGATTTGCCAGATATTTCCATCCCTTCTGGGTCCAGCATTTTTGTGATTATTGCCTCTTTAATGGGATGGTGTATTTTTGCTTCATCATTAACCCCAGGAAATGCTAGGTGGTGGAGCAGAGCACGGAGAAAATGAAAGAGGAACTGGAGAGCTGAGATGCCAAAGTTACGAGAGCCAGAGCGCGCGAGCACTCCTGCAGTGCTTTGATTTCTGCTGCCGTATGGCTCAAATGCTTTTACAAAGGGATTTCCTGCATGCTTTGAAACACGTGATGAGGGCTTCTGCTGAAGTTTTGAGATGCAATTCCCTAAAGTTTATTTTGCAGACTGTGCTGGGTAGATGGAGGGGCTGGTGCATGCACACTGGTGTGCATACACATTCCTGCACAGACTCTGCAGCGCACGCTAGGTGACGAGGAACATGTCTGCAGGAGAGTGATCCTGGGATCTCCACAGGAGGCTTTCAGAGCTTCCAGCATGTCTATTGCCAACTACTTGTATTTTACTATTACATAGAAGGAAAAAAAAAGTATAAAGTAATTCTGTTTTCTTTTTTTTTTCTGGAGATATGAGTGCATGCGAATTTCTGAAGCAAAGCCATCCCTATTTCAAAATAACTCCTTCCCCACCTCTTGTATTACCTCAAGCCTCAGCACTTGCTGACTCTGTGCATATTTCCCTTGCCACCATTTTGGAGGCAGTTGCAAGTTCCCAGTGCAAAAGACAAGATGTTTTTTCCACTGTCAGGAGCTTCTCTGGAATACCTGATATCCTCCAGGCAGCATCTGCCTGCCAGAGAGTGCTCGCTCCTGTGCAAGAGGCCAGCTTGTACTACCCAGCATGTTACATCACAAATGGGCAATAGAAACAAAAGGGAAGCCTCAAAGATCACAGAATGGCTTGGTTTGGAAAGGACCTTATAGCCCATCCAGCTTCAACCGCTGCCATGGGCAGGGTTACCAACAACTAGATCAGGTTGCCTGTGGCTCCGTCTGACCTGAAAGATATACTGGAACTCTATGAAAAGAGGTGTTAAAGACCCTAGTTTGTAAAAATCAGAATGAAGTTGGATCCTGTTGACATCAGTAGAAGTTTTGCAGTTTTTTTCATCAGTAAATCATTTTATGATGGTTTATAACTGAAATCCTGAATAACCAGTAGTTAGCAGTTCCTGTGTAGTTCAGCAAGTGCTCTCTGGTAAATATTTTTAAAATAAAGAAATAAAAAATCCAAAGATGACTTTGTATGTCAAGCTAGTATGTTCAACAAGGGTTTAATCCAGAATCTGTCCTACGAAGATTTTTTCATGTGAGAACCAGTGTTAGGTTTTTTGGTCGTTATCTTTATGACTTGCTAAGTTATGGAAAGAAAAAATACATATATTCAGCAGTGAGAGCTGAGCATTAAACCAGTGATCTCATCGCTCCTTTTCTTTCCTCTTTCAGTGCATTCGTGGAAGAAAAGCAACTCTAGAAGAGCTGCAGACAGTTCACTCGGAAGCTCATACACTGCTGTACGGCACAAACCCTCTGAACAGACAGAAACTGGACAGCAAGAAACTTCTAGGTATTGTTCACTGTGGGGTGGGCTGCCCTTCCTGATCCCCAGCATTCACACTACTGCCCACTGCCCCAGTTCTGGTGATCCCTTAGTCCTGCTGGTGTGAAAGGTGAGCACTTGGTGCTCTCACCAGCCCCAGCTATAGGCAGTTCCCAAGATGATTCTTCCCCCTCTACTGTCAGCATTGTCTTGAGTTATACATCTTCCTATCTTTGGGCAGATCCCTAAACCTTATCCAGCTACAGCTTCCTTGAATGAATGCCTTCAAAACCTAAAACCAACCTTTCTGAGGAGAAAAGATAATTTAGAGTCTATTATATCTTTGCACAGTCTACTCTGCACGTTAGAAGGTTCTCCTTTGCCTGATAGGAGCCGGAATACCCTGATAAGGACCTGGATCTGCAGCACCAACCAGCTGCACAGGCATCAACAAATAGTTGTCAGGACTGTGTGGATAATCCACAAGAAAGATGCAGGGGCCTCTTATTAAAAGTCCTACATTTGTTTAATTTTGAACGAGATTGTTTATTCCTTTCACTGGGAACTGGATCTTCCTGAAACAGGGCTGCTTCTGTAGACTATTTCCTTGCAGACTATGTAGAGGATGGTTGCTGGATAGCCATTTCCAACCAGAGCAACCAGTTCACATTGATTTTGGCACCTTACCATCATGGAACATCTTCTTTTCCCTTTGTTTTTTCCTCTTCGCAGCAGGAGGTAATAATCTGGAGGGGCAGTTTGTGAAGTTTTGCAGTGGGGATCAGCAAAAAGACAGTTCTGGAATCCAGAATTTAACAATGTTTATTTTGGGATTAGCTTCACTTTGAATGATATAAAAAGAGGATTAACTTGATGACCTGCACATTGCAACAGTCATAGCAAAAGAGCTGGAAAGATTTTTGCAACATATTCAGTATGTACATTAGATACCCAAAGAGGAAAGCTATTAGCCAGTTGTTTAAACATGTAATTAGCAGTGTATTTATAGCTAAGTTGCCATCTCTTTAAAACCCAGAGAAATGAGAAATAGACATCTCTGGCTGAATGATAGCACAATTAGTATATGCAGTTTAAGAAATTTATGATGTCATATCTTTGGTAGTGTAAAACTCTTGCTTTTCGTAAGGCATATCCATTAATCCAGAGAAACAGGGTGTAAATCTCCTCTGTAAATCTAAGAGGGCTCCTCATTTGCACTTGCACCACCTTCATTCTGACTGACCTCACTTCATCGAGCTGTAATGATGAAGCAGAGCTGAAGATGATGACCTGTCCCCATGAATTCCTCACGGTGGGATGCAGGCAGTCCTTCAGCACTGTTGGCTTCACCGAGCTGGATCAGATGGGGTTGACACCCTGTGTGGGACTGGGAGAAGCTCTGAATCACCCTACACTCACTCTCAGAAACAGCTTAAAGTCAGGCATTTGATACCCCTTGCAAGATGTAAATAAGTTTTTGGAGTGAACTGGGGAAACACTATAAGTGTTTCCTTCTCATTCAAATATCACGGCCTCTCAAAATACTTTGTCATTCACATTCAACTCTCGGCACAACCTGTATCAATAGTTCCACAGGTGTATTTGTGGAAAGAAAGTTTATTGTTATTCCCACATTTTGACTGAAATAAACCTGTTCAGAGAACCTGCAGGAGGAAAAACTCTACCCTTGAGTACTTCAGTATGTGTGCTGTGCACCCCACATGTCTTTCAGTTTTAAAATATCTCTAGAAATCAAGTTTCCTCTAGTGAATAAAAATAGTTCTGACACCTGAGGGCATTCCAGTACAAAGAGTTGCAGGCATATGTGTAATTTGCAAAGAACATTAAGTTGTCAAGGGGCTGTACTCCTGATAAATCAGTTCCGAGAATAACCTATTTCTGACTGAGACCAGAGTTTGGCTGGGATTGCAGCTGAAGCTTCAGCCATGTCCTAGCGTTGCCCAGCAGCTTTTCTATTACTGTTTGAGGCTGAAGACGTAGAAAGGACATTGAGATTGTTAGTTACAAGGGATTTTTGGTAGCACATAGAATTGCTCTGCTGTGAGCTCAGCTGTCTCAAAAACCACTACGGTTTCCTAACTTGTTGGCTTCCATAGTTCTGGGCTGGAGCTGAGAGAACAGCTTCTGATGTGTTGGGAACCCCCCCCCGAACAGTATATGTATCTGTGCACAGAGGTGAACAAGCCTGTAAGCATTCCCTTCAGCTGTGCTCTCTTTTTGAAAGTTTAAAAAGCTTTTAAATGTAAATAACAGCTTTGTGGGGTTCTTTTAAATACATTTGTGGGCTTAAATGTATGGCAGGTTTGAAGTCCAAGACCAAAGCTTCACATGAGGCTCATGTATGCAAATGTTAGCTTGGAAGACCTGAGTGTCTTGACGTATATGTGACTGTGATGGGATGACTTCCTCTGTCTAAGCTTTTTGCCTTTGATAAGTCTATGAGCAAGAGAAAGCATGAGAAATCTCAGTCTAGAAGGAAGAACTTGTGAAGCTGAAAGATGAAAACAAGGATTGCTTGGAGCAGAAGGAGACGTCTTCCTCCTACATACACAGTCTCCCTGAGCAACAGATACGAGGCTCTGGAGCTGGAAACAAAAGAGTGCCTGGATACCAAACAGAGCCCAGGATGCAATAAGCAAAGAATCATATTAAAACTAGTTCCACCAAAAAAGGGCAAGAGTCTTAGTAACTGGGGATTCCTTGCTAGGAGGCACTGAGGCCTCCGTTTGTTGCCAGATAACCTCTCCAGAGAGAGCTGCCATCTTCTGGGGACGTGTGTCAGAGATGTTAAGAAGACTCTACCAAGATGGCTGCTATCTGCTTGTTGTCATTCAAGTAGGGCCAGGGGAGGCTGCAACGAGGAAAATACAGAATATTGAAGGGGGCTTTGCATCCCTTGGAAAGACGCTGAAGGGATCAGGAGCACAAGCAGTATTCTTCTCTGTCCTCCCAACTGCTGGCTGGGTCATGGAAGGAAGAAGAACAGATCAGGAAAATTGCTGGCTGGGGAAATGGAGCTGGGATCAAGATTTTGGCCACTGTGATCTTGGGCAGGCCTTTGAGAGACCACGTATGTGGATGTCAGACAATGCAACTGAGCAGATGGGGCAGAAGTGTTTTGGGGAGCAGGCTGGCTGGATTGATTACCAGAGCTTTAAGACTAGATCTGATGGGGGAAGAGGATGGAGTTACTTGTGACAGAGAGGGGCCTGATAGTGCTGTCTTTTTAGTAAACTGGAGAAAAACTTCTCAGTTGCCCATTTGGATCTTGTGATAACATCACCAAAAGGGTTTAAACGTTCTTGCATTCCTCAAGAGATACCTGCTTCCTTAAAGTACCTCTATATACCAATGCATACAGTGCTGGAAATAAACAGGAAGAACTAGAGATCCATGATGTGTCACGGGGCCGTGAGCTCACTGTGATCACGAAGACATGGTGGGACAGCTCGCTTGACTGCAGTGCTGTCATGGATTGCTGTGTCCTCTTTAGGAAAGGCAGTCTGGCAAGACAAGGAGATGGAGTTGCTCTTTATGTGAGTGCAACTAGAATTTATCAAGCTTCACTCAGAGGGAATAATGAACAAGTGGAGAACGTGAGGGTAAAAATTAAGTGGTACGCTAACATAGGTGACACTGTTTTGGGTGTGTATTGCAGGCCACCTAGTCAGGAGGAGGAAGTGGATGAGGCCTTCTACAAACAGCTGGAAGTAGCCTCATGGTTCCTGGCACTAGTTCTCATGGGGGACTTCAACTATCCTGATATTTGTTTGATAAGCAACACAAGCAGGCACACAGAGTGCAGGTGGTTCCTGCAACGTGTTGGTGACTTTCTGGTGCAGGTGGTGCAAGAGCTGATGAGGAGGAGTGTATTACTTGACCTTGTTTTTACTAACAAGGAAGGCTGGTCAGGGGTGTGATGGCTGAGGGAAGCTCGGGATGCAGCAATTACAAGATGGTGGAGTTTAAGATCTTGTGGGAAAGAAGTAAAGCATAAGTAGAATTGCTACCTTGAACTTCAGGAGAGCCAACTTTGACTTCTTCGAAGACTTACTTGGAGGTACCCCATGGGTAGAGTATTAGAAGGTATGAAGCCCATCACAGCTGGTTGGCACTTAAACACCACTTCTTCCAAGCATCCCTAAGAGTAAGAAATCGTGGAAAGGTGGCAAAGAGGCCTCTGTGGATAAACTCAGAACTCATGAGTTCCTTAACTCATGGATAAACTGAAAGGAAAGAAGAAGGTCTGTGAAATGTGGAGAAAGGACCTGCCCACCTGGGAAGAATATAGGAATGTTGTCAGAGCCTGTAGGGATGCAATGAAGAAGGCTAAGGCCCTCTTGGAATTAAACCTTGCAAAGAAGGTAAAGGATGAAAAGAAAAGTTTAAGTATGTCAACAGTAAAAGGAAGACTAGGGAAAATGACTGCTGGACTGCTTTCTTCTTTCATCTTTGAAAGGTCCTGGCAAATGGGAGAGGTGCCTGAAGACTGGAGGTTAGGCAATGTCACGCCAGTCTTTAAAAATGGAAAGAAGCAGCATCTGGTAAACTACAAACCAGTCAGCCTCACCTCCATCTCTGGAAAGGTGATGGAACAACTTGTTCTGGACACTGTCTCCAAGCAATTGGAAGAGAAGAAGGTTATCAGAAGCAGTCAACATAGATTCACCAAGGAGAAATCATGCTTGACCAATCTGGAAGCCTTCTATCAGTGTCATCACTGGCTGGAGAGATGCGTGGAGATCAGTGGCTGTTGTGTATCTTGACTTCAGCAAGGTGTTTGACACCATCTCCCACAGCATCCTCGTTATGAAACTTAGAAAATGGGGGATAAATGAGTGGACAGTGAGGTGAATTGAGAACTGGCTGCCTGGCAGAGCTTAGAGGGTGATCATCAGCAGCGCAGAGCCTGATTGAAGGCCTGTTACAAGTGGTGCTCCCCAGGGGTCAGTGCTCAGTCCAGTCTCATTCAGCATCTTCATCAACAACCTGGATGAAGGGATAGTTTGCTGATGATACAAGGCTGAGAAGAGTGGCTGATACTTCTGAAGGCTGTGCTGCTGTTCAGCAAGACCTAGACATACTGGACAGTTAGGCAGGGAGGAATCTGATGGGGTTTAGCAAGAGCAAACGTAGAGTATTGCACCTGGAATGAGCACATGCATCGCTACAGGTTAAGGGATGACCTGCTGGAGAGGAGCTCTGCGAGGAAGGACCTGGGGGTCCTGGTGGGCAGCAGGTAGGCCATGAGCCAGCAGTGTAACCTTGTGCCCAAGAAGGCCAATGGTATCCTGGGGTGTATTAAAGAGCATGGCCAGCAGGTCCAGGGAGGTGATCCTCCCCCTCTGCTCTCCCACAGTGAGGCCACATGTAGACTACTGTGTCCAGTTCTGGGCTACTCAGTTTAAAAAAGACAGGGATCTCCTAGAAGGTGTCCAGCAGAATAGTCCTGCAGTTGTTAGTCTCACTCCTTCTTCAAAAAGTGCCCTTCTTTACCAGCAGCCACCACTGACAGTGAAGATCACTTCCATAGAGTTAGAATCATAGAATCATTCAGGTTGGGAAAGACCTCTACAGTCATCTGGTCGAGCGCCAACCCACCCCCACCATGCCCACTGACCACATCCCTCAAGTGCCACATCTCCATGGTTCTGGAACACCTCCAGGAACGATGACTCCACCACCTCTCTGGGCAAGCTGTTCCAATACCTCACCACTCTTTCTGAGAAGAAATTTTTCCTAGTATACGACCCGTACCTTCCCTGGTACACTGTAAGGCTCTTGCATCTTCTACTGTCACCTGTCATATGGGAGAAGAGGCTGACCCAACTTCGGGCATTACAGGGATCTTTGCTGTGTTGTATCTGAAGGGCTTGAAGATGGCAGGCTGCACAACTCTACCCCTGGAAAGGTTGCTGTAGCCATTGAAAGTCTCAAGATAAAGAATATGAATCCATTTATCACTTCACACTCTGGAGCTTTGGAACCTGTTGAACAAGCTTAAATGCAGGCAAATAAGACCGCTTTTAATTTGTGGATAGCAATCATAAATTGTTGTTAAGAAGATAAATATTGAAATAATAGGTGGATTAACAGTGAAAGATGTGACAGGAGGTCCAAAGCAGGATGAGCTAAGAGTTTTCATGTGGATCTAATCAGTGAGTCTCGCTGTGCGCTCGGATTGACAACACAGATGCACTAACTCCTCTCCCAGTCAAAGGGCAGTGTATGTGTCTGACTTTTAGCTTTCATTAGTTTCAAGGAGGTATCAGGCAAATTAATCTCTGGCACTGTACTGTTCTTTTCTGGTGCTCGCACGTGCATGTTTTCTTCTCCCTACTTGCCTGTTGTGTATAGATACATATACAAGTCATGTACAAAGGGTAGCAATAGACATGAGAGCTTTCAGTGCATGGTTTATAAATATGCAACATTTGCAGTGGATAATATTGCTGCTACACAAGCTGAGGAAGTGATGTTAGACTCATTATAGTTACAAAATTATTTCTGCAGATGGCTTTCTTCATTTTTCCCAAATTATTAACATGGATTTTGCTCTTTCAGTTGAAAATACGTTGTATTTGCTTGCCACCGGTTTACTTTTTGTCTGTCTGTCTTTTATGAAGACTCAAAAGTCTTCTAGTGCCTGTGCAGATGACTGATAATTAGAGGGGTTTTATGATTTCCATCCTCTTTCAGTTGAAAGTGATTAAAATGTTCACCTCAGACGTGCTGAGCACTTGTTGGTAGCATCTCAATCATTTATAGTCAGCATGATTGCCTGAAACGTGGAACAGTGCAGAACTATTGCATAAAAATGGGTGATTTATAGAAGGCTTTTATGTCAGAGAGGCTTTTGAACATGTCCAAGTGTGTATATTGTTTATGTGCATGTTGTAATATAGCAGGGTTGGCTGCGTGTCTTCTGAAGATTGCAAGAAAACTGTGATCTGTTACTGTGTTCAGAAAGATTTCAGCATTGCCATAAAATTGGACCACAATCTGGTGAACTTTGACTTTTTGACTTACTGGCTACGTATGGTTTTTTTCCTACAGGTTCTCTAACGTCGATGTTTGTCAGGCTTCCTTGTGGTGGTGTCGGGGTGAGTACTCTCTTTAATGTGTAAATAATGTCCTGTTTGTTCTCTGAGTCCCATTGGTAACAAAAATCGATGCTTTGCATTCCATCAAGTGGGTAATTGCTACCAGATGTTCTCCATAAACAGGGTCTGCCTGGGGTGTGGGTTTGCAGTGACAGCCTCACGTGCCTTTCTTCAAAAGCAGTGCGATGATTTGAAACTATTTGGAGCACTGAAAGCGTGGGTGACATTCATAGGCATGCTTCGTCTCTGGCTTTGGGGACAAGAAACCTCATTTCCCAGGCAGTGATGCTTAATGTCTAAGAGGTTACTGAATTTTAAAGCAAGCTTCGAACCCAAAAGTGCGCCGCAACCACGCAGAAAGCAAGATGTGCTGTTTCATCTTTGGGATTTGTGTTTCAGAGCTGCCTGTCTCATAGGGCAGGTGGAAGCTTTATTAATAAAATGGTGATACTAAAGGACGATGTTTGGGAAGTTTCAGTAAATAGTGAGTTATTTGCAGCTGGACTTGTGTTATCGTCCTAGAATAAAAAACCTCACTGATTACAAAGGGTAAAATTGCAGTCGTCAGTATTTGGCATCTTTCATTTTTTTTGAGGCTGAATTCTGAAAGAAGTGACTGAAATACCCGTCCATCCATCACAGAGCAGCTGAACATCAGTTTTCATCTGTCAAGATTTCTTTCATGCAGTTAAAAAAAAGAAAAGACATTTATTCCCTGAAGACTGAAAAGAGGGAATATCATTCCAGTGATTCCATGCCTTGTGCTGAAGATTTGGGTTTGTTGTTTGTTGTTTGGAGCCTGAAATCTTGAAAGTTTTCCTTTCGGCTCAGACTTTCTGCTCCAAGGTTTCTGTGCAGGGTGACAGCAGAGAAACCCTCATAGAGCAGGAAGGGAAAAGAATGAGAAGAGACAATAAAAGGCACTGTGTTTGAAAATTCACAGTGGTAGTTCTTATGCATAATTGTAGCTCGTGAGGTTGAATTTGGAGGTCTGGATTCTGTTATGGAAATGAAACAAAATTGTTTTCTTCCTGAGTCTTTGCAAAATCACTGCTTTGAAAATTATCCCGTCAAAAAAAAAAAAGAATAATCGGCGTTTATTCATACCGCCACAACTGAGCACTCGTAGAGATATTTTATTTTGTATTGTAAATATGCTGCAGCCTCCTAATTCATGACAAATTTTTGGCTGGAGTTTAAAAGGTTTGGATTTACCCTGCCCTGCAGTCAGGCATGCCATTCAAAGCAAAAATTATCATTTGCAAATGAAGACTGAATGGTAACAAGTAGAGACAGTGCCTGAGCCTAACGCAGTCCCAGAAGTCTTGCATTAAGTCCTAAATCAGGGCAGGAAGCACCACGGCGCTGGTATTCCTGATAGGCTGCTGATAAAGATAGTACTTGCTGCTCCTGGTCTCCACTGAGCCTTAAATATGAAATAAAACAGCTTTCCACTTTTCTGCAGCGTTTCAGTCATCCCGACCAATGCTTTCATGTTTTGGAGGAAGAGCTTTGTGTAACTGGTAATTTACCAGTCATCGACAACGCGCTTGTCAGATTTTTCGTGGAAGGAAAAAAAAAAAATGCATTCTGGTTGTTTTGCTTGATTTTCTTTCCCTCAGTTCCATTGGAAGGCAGCACGAGCTCTTTGTGTGCTTCTACTTGCAGGAGAGCAGATTCCTCACTGCTTTTGTGCTGCGTTTTTGATCAGTATATACACTGCAGCTACGCATCTGTGGGGAAAATGAGGCCACGGCACGCAGTGATGGGCTGTAGCATATTGAGCAGTGCACACCTGGGTGGGTTGAAGTGGTTACCCCCTCCTTTTGGGGGTAGGAGATCTGCACACCGATCGCACAAGCTCCTTTCAGTCCTGTTTTCTGCTGTCCTTCAAAGTGTGAGATCTGTCAAGAAAGCTGGCTTAGCAACGTTGCGTGTCTATTGAAGAAATAGAGGGAAAACTGTACTCTTTGTTAGCATGCCAGTTCTGTCAGACAAGTTGCTCTTGGTTTGATTTGCTATGGGAAAACGTTGGAAGAAGCTCTACAGTGGGATTTTAGTTGGGCCACAGAGCACGCCTCTCGGTAGCAGATGAAAAACAAGTTATTTTCTGCATCAAAGAGGATGACGAGACATTTTTGAGACACATGCAGTATTTTTTGAAGAACTAAAAAAGATTTTAAAACATCAGGGCCCAGGGTAAAGTATCAGTTGTGAAGAATTTCGGTGAGAGAGGAAGCATGATGCAAGCCTGAGAGGTTTCAGCATGTGAAGACCGCTGAGAGATCGAGTGCTTGTTATGGTATAATTGAATAATTTTAAATTGATTTAGCAAGAATGCTTGGGGGTCCTGCTGCTGTAGGCAGGCTGCAAGGTGACCGTATGGCTCCTCTGATGGACGAGGAGCATCAGAGCTGTATTTAGATTCTCCTTTGTTCAGGAACACCAGGTTGGCAGAACATGACTTGCTTCTGAACAGTTAACTGTCTCACTTTTGTCTTTAACTTACGAGCTGAGGAGGTTGTGGGAAGGCAGCCTTGGTGGTGACAGAAGTTGGTGTGAGCTCCTATGGCTTTGCACTGGTTTTACTGGTAAGGGAGCATCAGGAGCACGGGATGATCCGAGCACCTGTGGGACATCTGGTTTGTAGCCCAGAGCTGAAGAAGAAGGGATTTATTTCAGCAGAAGGGTAGTTTTCTCTGACTCTGTCACTTAATAAGTGCAGCCTAGTGAATAATTCATGGTTCACCAAGGCAGTAGACAGCTTTCCAGCTGGCTGACTGCTTCGTAAGGAGGATTTGATCCAGAACACTCAATACTGTTCTGGCAAATGCTTGCCAGGGGGCTAACGTGATCCATAAAGAAAAAAGAAAGGTTTTAAAAAATCAGGCTACCGTAGAATGAGTTGGGAGCAATCCTCTTTTGGGTACATCACTGATGAGAAGAGAGAGAGCTGCAGTCAGAATAAGTCCAACACATGCTCTGAAATGTTGCAAAGCAAAGGATTGGTCTGTAAGTGCATGCTGGTGATGGTATGAAATTTATTCAGGGTCACGAAGACAAAAGCTGAGTGCAGAGAAATATTGATGTCACGAAAACACAAAGCTAAGTAGTAAGGTAGAGCACAAAAAGCAGTGTTGCTGGGTGCAAAATAATGCCTGAGGGCATGAGGGAGGCCTGGCCCGGAGTGGGTGAAAGCTGAATGATTGCAGCTCCTTGTAATTCAGGAGAGGAGCTGGGGGTGTCGAATGGTATTTATGGGATGGAAAGCTTGAAGTCAAGTCCTTTTTCTGCAGACAGACACACAGCTCTTGTCCATAGGGGTTGTCATGTAAGTTAAAAGAATAAATGGGCCTGAAAGGTGATGTGGAACAGTGCTGTGGGGGGGGTGAGGGTGGGAAAGCCCCCCAAAGCCGTTACATCTCCAGTGGCTGTGCTCCAGTGGTGTGGCAGTGTTGCTTTGCCTTTTCATCTCCTCGTTAGGGCAGTGGGTTAGGTGCTGTGGTGCTGCTCAGAACCTTGCTCAGGCCTGCCAGGTGCTCTGGGGCCAGCAGATACATCAGCCTAGCAGTGAGGGAAGCTGTGAATTTCCACGAGTTCTTTGTGCTAGCACAGGTGTTACAACAGGAGTTTTTTGAAGGAGCAAGAAAAGGTTTGGGGCAGATCAGTTCACCACGTAACACTTTTTGATCTCCCTTCTAAAACGAAGTCACAGCTTCGTGAGATCAACGAGGAAGGTTTGTCCCCCTATGGTTGGAAACTCTGGGTTCTTTTCATCATCAGTTTGCTTAATACGAGGAAGCCCTCACATCGTCACAGCTGACACTAACAAACCTTCCCACCTGCACATGTCCCAGTCCTGGCAGAGAAGGAAGAAACCACAGAACCACTCATATCAACAGATGTGAGTTCTGATTTAAACATTTATTCCCACTGATCTTCAGCAACATCTGCAGGAGTAGCATTTCCATTTAGTGCCGTTCACTTCTCCGCAGCACACACACTTTTCTTAAGCTATAGCTTACATGCATGGAGTGTTAGATAATCCGGGATAATTAGAAAATAATTTTGCAAAAGGCTTTGAAAATCCATAATCTAGTGATTCTTACTAGTTTTGATCTCTTCCAGAGTTTGTTCTCCTATTTTTGATTGCAGGGTCCTGTTTAGAGTGTAAAAAAATCTTTACCCATGCAGGTGTAAGCGTGCAGCAAAGTACATTCTAGCAGAGCAGAGACCAAAAAAAGTCCATATTCCATGAAATGGAAATGAGAAGAAACTTAATAGTGAGTCTTAGAAGAAAATATATGTGAGCAGTGACTTAACCAGAGCTTTAGGAGACATGAGAAAGTAAAGATGGTTCCCTGACTGGGTGAATGCTGAGTGCTGCTGTTGCCTGAATGTGAGGATGAGCTGTGATGAGAGGAGAGCAGAACTCCTTTGATTCTCTCTGCTTTGCAGTCCATTGCCCCTGTCCGTCACTCTGTTTTCCTTGTTCTAATGAAACCTTTTTTTAAGATCCTCCCCATTTTTTTTTTTTAAATAGCTGCCTGGCAGTACGTAATTTAGTGCATAGCGTGAGTCGGAAGCTCATCGTGTGTATTTTTTAACATTTCATACTCATAAGGAAGGAAAAGTTCTTTCATGTTTTGCTCAGAAACATCTTAGACATTCCTCTTAAAACAAAGCCTCCATCAAACTGACCTTCCCTCATCATTTTCTAATAATTGTGCATGCTACAAAGGCTTTAGAGCCTGCAGCAGGCCCCAGGAGCTGAATTCCCTCTTCCCACGTCCAAAGATCCTCAGCTCTCCTAAAAGTCCATGAGGCAGAATCAGCAGCTCCTCTGGCTTTAATATTACTCTCAAGCAAACAAGCATGCTTATCCACTCCTCATCCAGCAGATGTGGAAGACTTGGTATCTCTGACGCAGTTGAATCCTCCAGTTTGGGAGAGAAAAAGAGAAATGCACGCTCTTAGATCAACAAAAGGCAAGAAATGTGCTTCCTCCCTCTGTAAAGTCCTTCCAGATGCTAAGGCTTGATGTGCTGTCCCAGCAACAACTCCTGTGATGGCAGCTACATCAAAGGGCTCGTCGATGGGGAAAGCCAAATAGTGTCTCCCTGTAATGAACTTCAGAATTCAGGAATGATGGAGGGGTCAACAGCAGCCCGAGCACCGAACAGCAGCAGCTTTAGAGCCGGAGTGCAGCTCAGCTCAGGGCCACATTAATAAGATTTTCCACCGTGGCAGAACCTACGCCCCTCTGCTGCAGAGTGCTGATGACTTCAGTGGGACCGTTCAGACACTTCCAGTGTAACATGATGAAGTGCTGCCTTGGATTAGGGCCCGGCAATCTCCAGACATCCTTTCTGGGAAGGTGGCTGGGTGTTAAATCCTTATCGTGGAGATGCGTGCATGTGGGACAAAGCAGTACCAAGCTTGGCTCTCTTAATCCAGTCATTCTCCCACCGGGTAGCTGGGCATGGCAGAGACTGGCTTTTATGCTGCAGGCAGAATGCTTTTTCTAGGTGCTTAATTTCTGCAGAAATCATCTCTTTAAAACCTGTCTTGCCGTCCTCGCTCCTCTTGGAGTGCTACCAGCACAAGCCTGGTTTCTGCAGGCAGTGTGGTGTGAACTTAGCAGCGTTTGGCTTGGGCACTGGTGGCTTTGGTGTGCTTTATGGGAAGGCTGGCACAATGGAGATCTGAGGGTCCTTACATGAAGCTGTGCACCGGTCATATATGAGTTCTGCTTTTAGCTATTTGTTTCCTTGGTGCCTTTATGGTGAGTAGATGTGACCCTGTGCAAAACTCTGCATTCAAGTGAGGAACCTGGTACTTGGAGGGCAAAGAGGGAGAGGACGCCTCTTTCTATTGCTGTCCTGCAGCATTTTCTTTCAAGACTTAAGACAGATGGGTTATATCTGCCCATTCCAGGCTGCGTGGCATAGCTGTATCCCTCAAGTTAAGGGAAATGGAACCAGCGAACCAGCTCAGAGTGGCCCTTCCGCAGTAGCAGTGAGGCAGCAGAGTTCTACCAACCTCCTTCTTCCCCAAGATACCAAGAACTGAAATTAAATTTGCCGGCGCTGAGGCTGTAATTTTCTTTGCAAAAATCAAACTGGTATTCTCAGTTGCTTAGGTTAGGTGTGTCTGCCACCTGCAGACACAGGTGTTTGTGACAGTGTTGTATAGAGCTCAAACCTGTTGTACTTCTGTTCCCGTGTTTCTGCCCAAGCTTATTAACTCAGGGGAGCCCTGGCACTTTTACTGGCTAACTGCAACTTCAGAACTGTCCTCAGAGCAGCTGGTGCCAGAAAGCATTCCCAGTAATGGGCCTGGAATGATTTCCACCGCCTTCAACACAGGCACGAAGGAGGTGGCTCAGTGTTGTGTGGGGTGACTTGCATCTCCTCGCAACTCAGTAAGCAGGTTGGCTGCCAGACAAAGCAAATAATCCATTTCTCCCATTCTCCTTCTCCATTGTTTCCATAAATGCTCTCAACGCACAGCAATATGTGAAAAATAGCTGATGATCCTTCACATTGAGAAATGTTGCATTTATCCTGTGATGGATAGGAGGACTGTACAGCAGAGCTTTCCTGACATGGGATAGTCCCAGCAGTGTGAATTTCACAAGGGCCGGGGCTGGCAGGAAGAAAACAAGCTCTGCTCTCATCACAGCCTGCAAACAGGCCAGAGTGCTGGGGAAGAGATCCAGGCCCCGTGCCGTTTGTCCCCCCACAGCCTCCAGCTGGATCACAGCAAAAGCTGTGCAGGCATCTCAGCATCTGTCTTCGAACCCATCCCATCTTTGTGCAGTTGGTGGCGTGAATGTGGTAAAAGCCAGCACTCCCTGCTTTTGGTTTCAGTTAGGGCAGGATCTTGTAGCATAACTGCACGGAGAATGCCTGAAGGATGCCGTGCCTTTGGCCTGCTGGCACATCTTCTGGGGGAAACTGTAGAGTTTTTGCTGGTGCTGTCAGATATTCAGCGCTGAAGTAGATGTCTGTGATCAGCACTTAGATTGTGAAGATCTGCTGTTAGCTTTGCTGGGATGAGAGAAGTTGGTGTCAGCATAACCTTACCCAACTGGCAGGCCTGGGCTAGGCAGGTGTTGTTAAAAAGTTCATTAAGTATCCCTATTGTAGTGCTTTAATTAAGAGGATTATTGAATGATTTTGTAAACCTCCTTTTTCATCTGAACTCTGTTTCCTCCAGCAGTTGAGGGGAAGTGCTGCTGTGGTGGTAGAAGTGCTGGTAGGAGACACCTGCAAGATACGGTGCTGAATTTCCTCCTCTTTTAATGCACTGACCCTAAAGCATCCCATGAGTAACCTTTGTTGGAACAGCCGTTGGTGTTGTCACCTTTAGGTGATGGCAGTCCTGGCCCTGGTGTTGCTGAGATCAGTTCTGCCAATTCCCACATTTAATACGTTCAAGTAACTCTGTATAAGACACGAGTCTGTTTCCTGGCTGTCCTCACTGTTGCTAACCATGGTTCCTGTGTGTCTCACTTAGGTCGACAGTGACACGATCTGGAATGAAGTTCACTCATCTGGTGCTGCTCGCCTGGCTGTGGGCTGCGTCATTGAGCTTGTTTTCAAAGTGGCCACAGGAGAACTGAAGGTTGGTATGACAATAAGCAACACTTTGCTTTGAAAAGGGCTGTGTGTATGGGAACAGCAGGGCTCAGATCATGACTGTGTTGTGCAGGAGATCCAGCAAGCTTCATTTTAATGGCACCATCTGGCTTTGGTCATAAAAATCTTTGAGGATATCAGCAAGTGAACAGCAGACTCCTGGTGAATGTTCTTACGTGCTGATTAAAAGGAAGAAAGAAACCAGAACAGCAAGCAAAATCCCTATTCCAGTGTTATCTGAGGGTCTTGCTGCTGGCTTCAGCTGGGCCAGTCAGCTCAGTGACCTCATGCAGAATTTATTTATTTTTTCCTGAGTGGAAGGAAATGCTGTACCAGCCAGTTTCCCTAAAATTCATGTGGATATCTTCCCCTCCAGAACAAGGGAGTACATCATCTGCTGCCGTGCAGGAACCATTGAGGACAACTACATAATTGCAAGGCACAATTAGTGCTCCTGGCTGCATGCATCCATCCTTGTGAGATGAACCTTCCTACCTGTCTCATTTCTTCCTTTTCTTATTTTCGTGTGTAGAATGGATTTGCCGTTGTTCGACCTCCAGGTCACCATGCAGAAGAAAGCACACCCATGTAAGTATGCATTTGTGCTCTGTGATCTTGCTTCAGTGTTTGTCTGTTGTGTGATCTACAGCCTGAAGAAGGCTGTTTGTTAGTTTACTAACGGTGTCATATGCAAAGCTCCCAGTAATTCCCTTGAAGAGGGCAAATTCCTACTTTGTGCTTTTGGGTGGGTAGTTCTTAGCACAAATTGACATTACAGTCATGCCTTGGAATAACGCTGCTGCTTCTGTTTACTCCTGTGAGTTGTTTTAAGATCAATATTGATGGCTCACACAGTGTGAGGAAGGCAAGAGTACCATTAATAGCAGTATAGCAAGCATTGCTGTGTCCTGAGGTCACAACACTGAGGAAAGGGGCAGAGCAGGAAGACTTCACGAAGCCAAAGTTAAGTCAGGCAGCTGACGTGTGTTTTAAACAGCAGGGTTTGTATTAGGGTTTTCACCAGATATCCCATGCATTCTTTGGGGTCCCATGCTTGGATTGTGTTGGACTTGTGTACCAGGCTTACTGTGCTGAACTTTCATGCGTGGAGTTTCTGTGCTTCAGTATAAAGTTCTGAGCCTCTGTGAGCGTATCTCCTCTCTTTCTGCTGATGGCGTCTCAGCACTCCAGGCCTTGATTCTGTCCTTTCTTTGTCCTCTTTGCTTTGTCTTACCTGTCCCTGTCTCTTACATGTAAACACTGGGGATCTGAGGGTCACTCGTGGGCAGCTGGCCCCCAGCAGCATCTCACTGCAATGGGCTTAGGAAAGGATTTCCTGATGGATCACAAGGCACGTGCTGCTGCGTGGCTATTTTGTGTTTCTCACTGAGCACACGTACATCTTCCAGGGAGGAAGGCAGAGTGAAAGCAGAAGAAATTTCTGGCTGTGTTATGTCTCAGATGATAGATGCACTGGGACCAAGGAGACCTATATTTAACACCTCTCCTTTTTCTCTTTTCTCTTCCTTCTCATCACCTCCAGGGGCTTCTGCTATTTTAACTCCGTGGCAATTGCAGCCAAGCTGCTCCAGCAAAGACTGAATGTTAGCAAAATCCTCATAGTGGACTGGGTGAGTAAACCTTCCTTGTTACCATCAGGAGAGCAGGTGGAAATTTTCATGGGGTTTTCTTTGGGTTTCATGTGAGGCCAACCCAGGCTCTGTAAGTCAGTGAAAAAATATTGTCTGTGGTCTGTAAGCCAAAATTTGTTTGCTTGGTACTTTTTAAAAACGATTTTAGTTCAAAACAAAACAAAAAGCTTATTAAAGAGTCCATAGTTTTCCGAACAGAATTGTAATTAATAAGATGTTGCCTTCTAAAACAAGCCCATAGCACAGTCTCAAGCATAGGTAACTGCAGTCTGTGCTGCTTCGGTTGGGGTTTTTTTTTGTAAGCTTTTTGGTCTCAATTGCTAGGATCCATCCCAGCTTTCTTTCTGAGGCGTGAGGGCTGGTTTCTGAGAGGGATGGGCTGTCCAGCACAGCTTTACTCTCGGTTTCAGTGTGCTGCTTTTGAGCCAGGCCAGCCTGTGTGCATGTGGGCAGGCAATCAGAAGTGTTCTCCAGGTTGGATTAGGACAGTGAAATATTCTTGCTTGGGATTTTGCTACGGTGACGTGTAGATTTAAAAATGTGGCAGATACATTTTATTGATTTTAAAATGTTTTTTCTTGGCTGTGAAGACATCTGAGCCCTTGGGTGTCAGCCAAGAGGTTTGATTAGATTGCAACAAATCTCTTGTGGGCAAGACCCACAAGTTAAAATGGATGTATTTGTCTTTTTGCCTTACTGGATGGGCATCCATTTCCTCACTTTCCACCAACTATTTTTAATGTCAGAAGGAGTGTTTTGCAAACCCATCCTGCTACGGACTGCGTTTCTGCTCCAAGTAGAGCTGCAGGAGAAGGTCTTGGCAACGGGTTTGTGTCCCTTAACATCACTGAGCTAGGCCTGACAGTTTTGCAGGGTACTTGTGCCAGTGGTCACCCTGTTGATTGATTAAAGGTGCAAATTTGGGGCAACTGATACTGCCTTTCTATGCCCAACATTCCTCAGGATTAGTTATGAATGTGATTCTCTAAACCTAACTAAATTGATCCTGTTCTCCAGGTAAGTGCTTGTGACTGTGCTTACTGCCATTTATCTGGTGTGTTAAATGAGAAGTGTAGACTGAAGCTGGCTGTGCAAAGCAGATTACTTTCGTTTGCAATGAACTGCTTCAGTTAGCTCAAAGAAGCACAGAAAATGAAGCTCAACGCCAGAGGAAACCCCTCCGAATCCCAGGTTGATGCTTTTAGTCATTTTGAATGAGACACGAACCTCCCTCATGTATTGCAATCTCTGTCCCCAAAGGATGTGCACCATGGGAACGGTACTCAGCAAGCTTTCTACAATGATCCCAATGTTCTTTATATTTCACTACATCGCTATGATGATGGGAACTTCTTTCCAGGCAGTGGTGCTCCTGATGAGGTAAGAGGATCTGCGTAGCACCTTCCCATGTCCGAAAAAAACAGGACCTTCTCAGGGTTACAATTCAGGTGTCCCCCAGAATTTGGGGGCTGCCTGCCTAGGTTAGGTCTGGAGGGCAGCTTCTGTCACTGCTCCCACCCTTCTGCTTGTTAGTGTCCGATTAATAGTGCATTGCCTACATTTGTGGGCTTGGTGTGTTCTTGTCCAAGTCCTCACAGCTGTGGGCATCATGGAAGCTGGCAGGACAGCACACACTTTGGCAAACAAGCTAAAAGGAGTGAATGCAGTCAGTCTGCCCATTCCTGATGGGACAACCTGTTCCAGAGCCCTTTGCCAGCTGTCCCAGACAGTGCTTTCATCTCCAAAGAACAGGACTTTGCATACTTTTCCTGCCTTCCCCTTAATGGATGTGAGATGTGGGTGTGAGGAATAGATTGTTCCGTGGCTGTGCCACCAGCACAGCGGTCAGCTTTCCTGGCACAACCCTCAAGTCCATCTGCTCCTTATGCTGGCCCAGCAGACACCAGTGCTAATCTCCAGCTGCCATCAGTGCTGTTGGACCAAGACCACTAATTCTTGGTGGTTTCTCAGACACTGCTGCAGAAGGGCTGGGCAAGCAAAGGTGGAGCCCTTTCTTCTCTGGGCAGATGCTACTACATCCATCACATCCTTCCTCACCCTCCAGGCTGAACTGTAGCATGCTGCAAACAGGAGGCATAGAAACAATCACAGTTTGAAGTATGTAGTTGGTAAAACCTTCCCTGGCCTTTAAGGTACAGTACATTCATTTGAGCTGTAGTTTTGTCGTAAATTTAAAATGAAAATGGGTCGTGCCTAAGGAATGTTCCATTATCATCCTTCATGTGTGATTTATCAGTTAAATTCTATCAAATGTGTAGTTCTGTGTTCTCTGAGGCATTTTAGATTACATCTTAAAACTCCTAGAATTTGTTCCCTGCCCATTTTATGTTTTCCCATCCAGCACGCATTGTTGTTTCCATTTAGATTTCTAAAGAGACTGAAATGTAGTGAGATATTCCTTCATGACTCTGCTTGTGCACATCTGTATAGTGAATACACAGCAGCTCTTTGCGGCAGACACTTAATTTCTGCCTCAGAATGCGCAAAGCTCTGACACTTACTTCTTGCAGCTTTATCTAGCTGAACTACCTGGCTGTGTATTGTATAACACCATTAATTTTTAGGTTTCTTTCACACACCGAGACCTAAACAAAACCGTGGTGCATAGGAGAGCTGTGCTGAGCTGGCAGCAGCACTGCAAGGGGACATCTGCAAGGTCCCGCCCAACAAAGGCACCCAGCACGGGCTTTTAGGATTCCAGATGAAGGGAGGCATGACCTTGCTTTTTGGCAAATGGTTACTAGAAGGCTCTGGTTTACTTTTAACTTCTCACCTTCCTCCATTATTTGGAGTCGATGGAAGGAGAAGCACATTTGCAGTAGGGGCAAGGATGGGGTTGCAGCTGCATTTAGCACTCGTGTCCCTCTAGCAGTGGAAATGTCTGTGAATCATATTTTCCCCCAGCAGAGGGGGAGCTCGCTCTGATTAAAATTGTCTTGTTTTATTCCCTAGTTACCACTACAGTAAGACACACAAGTGTACTTCTAAATAAAACTGAAAACAAATTAAGGAAAGAAACTACATGTAATGCGATGTTCTACAAAGGAGAAAAAGGATCCTGGAAAAGGATCCACTTAATGATGAGGTGTTTTTTAGGCAAGCAGCCTGCCTGCAGCTCCCACAAGCATCAGAGCATTTGTGAGCATGGGGAAGCTCTGTTTTCATCCTTGCTTTGGGGACTCTGTCACTCTAGAAGGAAAAATTAACCTAGCTAGCACCCAGCTATTGGATCAAAATCCATATTCAACTGGAAGAATCATGATACAGCAGAAAGGTGTTGCCAGAGTTTGCTGTTTCTACATGTATAATTAAGAGAACCGTTTCCTGTTTTCAGGTTGGCACAGGAGCAGGAGTTGGGTTCAATGTTAACATGGCCTTCACTGGTGGCCTTGATCCACCGATGGGAGACACAGAATACTTAACTGCTTTCAGGTAATATTGAAGTTTTCCTCTTATAATCATATTTTTCACCTAAATTGGGTTTCTTTTATCTTGTGCAGTCATGAACTTAATCACGAGTTAAGAAGTTCTGGATTTTCATCTAGTTGCAGTGCCATGTGGAATAAAGCTGAATGAAGCAAAGAGGATATTTCTGGCCACAAGAAGTGGGTCTGTGACGTTAGGGGATTGACGTACTCACAGCTTAGCACTGACTGATACGTCTACTGATATGAATGAGCTCTCTGTTGTTGGCTAAAAATCTTTGGGATGAGTGCTTCTGTGCATGAATACACTTGGATTGGGAAGGGAATCCTAAATAATTTTCATGAGTTACCATGAGTTGGAATTTCAGGGTGCAGCCATCCCAAAGCTTAAGGCATCATTATTGTGATATACATGATGGTGCATGACTTCTAGGCATGCTGGCATGCATTGCCTCCCTTACATGAGCTCTGCTTGTGACTACCACCCTACCTCACTCCTGAGGGTTCCTAGCAGAGGGAAGTGGGCCTCTTTTAATGACCTTCTACCAAATAAGTGTTACACTCACTGATAGAGGGTGAATGGAGGTAAGCAAAGCTGTGGAGTTAAATTAATGTGTTGCTGAGATGTCTTCCTTGACGAGCAGTAAGAGCCATGCCAAATGTAAATCGTGATGTTGGGTTGTACAAGCATACTAAAGTGTGCTCCAGAAAACTTGGCATTGTTTGAGTCTGCAAATGGAGCAGGGCATGGAGCTGTTTGTTGACCTACATGTTTGTGTCCCAGTGCTCTTACTGTCACGCTCACATGTGATACCTAGGGACAGCAAGGAATTGTTTATCTGACCCTTATTTTCCTCCTTGTGTCAGTATCATCAGAAGAGGTGTGTGAAGCAAAACACGCATTGAACATCTTGCTGCTCCGGGCAGCTATGGGGCAAAACGCTCTGATGGGGTGATTGTACAACACTGGTGTTTTGGGGGCTTGCTGCAAGCCTGGGGTGTGATGCATTTGCTTCCCAGACCCACAGAGAATGGGAAAATGAAGGTAGTAAGATGAACTATGGAAGCAGTGGAATAACACAATAAAATGACAATTTTTCTGGGTGGAGAGGTAAGCAGAACAGTATTGAATAGAGTCCTGTGTGAGACTACATTTTCTTCTCTGATACTCCTTCCAGGAGAAGGAATGTAATTCCCTGACCTGCGGATACATGGGCTTCATTTTTTCTTGAAACTGTCCTGTTCACCCCCTGATCCCCCATACGCCTCGTGCCTCCCCACCTTGCATCTTTTTTAGCAATTACCAATTGAAGTGGTTTTCTGTCCTCAGACCAGATTTAGTGCACTTCTGGCAAACACCCTGCATAAATTCAGGGGGACACATGATTGCCAAAACGTGAGATGCAAATTTCTGGCAATAGCCAGATGGAATATTGCCTTCCTGGGATAGCAGTGCGTGTGTGAAATCTGGGAGCGTTATTTCTGTCCTTTGCTGTGCCTGTATTCATATTGCGTTATATTGAGCAAAAAGAGCTTTTACCCTCCAGCATGCCATTAAAAAGCCTTCAAAGAATGTATACAATTTAAAGTAACATCTAGTCAAATAACTCTCATTTGTCTTGATGTTTTATTCCTGGTACAGGAAAGCAGCACTTTCCTCCAAAGTGGAAGTCTGTTTATCCCAGCAGTCAACAAGACTGATATCTGCATTATAAAGAGAACCTGTAGCTGGCGACTGAGTGACATACTTGCTATTAAATATTAATTGAGTTTCAAGGCTCCTGGAAAATTGTTCAGAGTAGTCTGCAGCACAAGACTTTTGCCAGCCATTCCTTAATAGACGCTGGTGTCTTTTTGCCCAGAGACTGCAGCTGTGTGAGAAGCAGATTTTGTACCTAACCCCAGCCCTTATTTTGGGTTCTGGGAAGCAAAGTGCTTTGTGACTCATCCTCATAGGTAGCACCTCCCGTAGCCTGCCTCATGTGCACACCTTCAGTCAATAAGTTAAATTGGAAGTTTTTTTAATCTTCTGCCAAGATTGGTCATGATAATACATTATCAAGTGACCTTTTCAAATCTTAACCAGCTTCTTTGAAAAACATTTTTTTCCTGAATCTTTCTATTGATTTTAATGTAAAATAATGCTTTGAAGTTTGCAATTTATAGTCCCCCGAGAGTTAGAAAGTGAAGGGAATGGGTCATATATCCTTTTTTTTTCTTCTTTTCTTGCGCTAGCCCCTTGAGACAATGCATGCCTTCAAGGCAGCACCTTGTTATTCCACCCCATCGAATGCCACGTTGCATTTGCTGGGGATCAAACCTAAGATGAAGAAAAGATAAGAAAATTGGCCATAATGAACTCCAGAAGCAGCAGGCATTTTCACCATGAACTTGGAAACTCACAGTGGAGAACTGAGCTTTAATTCAAACCAGTCCAAATGCCAAACTGTGAGGCTTTGAAGTCTGCAGAGGAATCAGTGGAAATCCTTTGAGCTAGGCAAAGATACTGATATACTTTTTCTCCTTTTTTTTTTTTTTTTTAAGCCTTAACCCTTCACATGCTTGCCCACTGCCCACTTTTAGGGAGGAAAGCCATCTTTCTGTGTAAAAACATTAAGAAAAAGCCAGCGTCAGGCTTTCCGTTTATTCTTCTGTTTTGGGATAAGCTGGTGTATGGATTGAATGAAATAAAATGATTGATGAATAAAAGCACACTCTCTAGCGAAATAATAACCGAGATAATTGTCTTCACAAATTGTTCTTCCAATGAATGAATAACTCCCAATGAAACTCATCACTGAAGCATAGAGCGGCCGTGCCTTGCGTTTTGCTGCACATTGTCTTCAGAGCTGAGTTCCCAAATCAGCACTGCAGAAGGTCGGGGTGAAATCCCAGCTGCTGTGCATGGAGGAGAAGCAGGGTGGGGTACCCGAGTCGCCCATGGAAGGCTTTGGGGAGCTCGCTGTGAGCTTGGCACTCCTCCACACTGTCCTAACTGCAGCCCTCGGCAGCATTACGTTATAATTTAGCTGACCGTTCACTGCGCAAATGTTCCACGGCTGAAGTCACCACCAAAGTATGTGGGCAATACAGATCTCACAGATTACGCAGAAATGTATTAAAGCCCAACACGTAAAATGCAGGGCATGTAATTTAAAAAGTCCCTAACTCATCAAAACGTTATTGGTATTCATTGCTGTTATTCCGTAGTTATAGAAACAAACGGTTGTAAAACTCTTTATTTTTTTTTTTTATTTTATTTTTTTTACTGGAGTCTTTTGTTTCCTGACTTGTTGTACAAGAAACAGTGGTTGCTCCTATGAATTCCCATGGCATTTTCAAAGGCTGTATAAAAGCATAGCGTGCAGACCCTACTGGGAGAGCTGCTGAGGCAACATGAGGGCTGTGCCTAGCTCCTTATTGCACAAGAACAGCAGTTACTAGTGAGATTAATTCGTGTTACATGCAGGAGTTTTCTTCTAAACATGATGTAAAATACCTTTCCCTGATGATTCTAGAAAACTGTCTTTTCATCTTAATTTTACCTACTCTGACACTGGTCTCTCACACAATTAGAATCCTGTGTGGGGCTTGGTTTTATTTCAGACACCCAGAGCAAAAGCAAAACCAGGGCTGAGAAGTCCCTCCTTCTGCCTTGAGCAAGTCTGGGAGCTGAGTTGGTGGGGTGGAAGGGTCCTATCCACAAAACATCCCAGAAGCAACAAATTGGGAGGGGGAACCTGGTGCTGTTTTGCCTCAAATTGTTGTTTCTGTCTTGTAGATTTCATGCTTTCTGATGCCTGTTTCGTCCCCAGCAGCCCCTGAGCAGGGGATGGCACCTGGTGTTGTATGGCCAGCAGTGGGAGGAGAACATTGGAGAACTCCTCTGTAGAACTGCTTAATCTGCCTGTCATTTATTAAGCGTTTGACTGGTGGATTGGCCAGTAGTAGACTAAGCATTATTCACTCTTCAGGAAAATGATAGAAAATTGTTTTTGTTTTCCCCCCAAAGTGTTTGCAGAACATGATCAGCAGGTTTTGCTGTTTGCAGCCATCGCCATTAGTTAATGCACAGCCATGCAGCTTAGCCACATTCAAAGCCTAATGAAAGGATTTAATTTGCATTAAACAAGCAAAACAATCTAAAATGTAGGAAATTTAAATGTTTGACCCTCGTACTTTAAAGCAAATTGGTGTGGCTAGAAGGGAAGATTCAGTGTTATGAAATGTTTCATTCTTGAGTGAATGGCTTTGCAGCCACCTTAGCTAAAAGACCCAGCTCTGAAGAAAACTGCTCACCTTGCTCACCTTGATAGCAACTCCAATCTGTGGATTTTTTTTATAGTGTGGTCATCAGGACAATACAGTAGGCTAGTAGCTGTTTTCTCTTGGGGACTTAGCTACACAGTGATGGATCTGAGCAAAAAGGGCATTTTCCTCTGCAGTGTGGCTGCTTCTAACTATCACCAGTGTGATTTACTTTCAAACAGCAAGCACTGCTTTTTCTCTCCTGAAATCTGCAGATTTCAGGCACTGCCTGTGTGGTACCTGTGCTGCCGGAGGGCATCTGCCCTGCTCACAGCCGAGCATCGTGCCCTGCATCTCCCTGAGGTGCACTGGGCACGGAGAGCTGTGCCACAGCCAGCAAGATGCCATCACCTCGCAGCACAGTGCTGGCTGAGTGCTGACAGCCCGTGCAGCTCCACAGCTCGGGTTTGGGTTTAGGCTTTGGGTTGGGTTTGCTCCACTAATGGCTTTATGGCAGCTGAGGTTGTAGCATCTCTCACGACATTGCAGCTTTGGAAAAAATCTGATGATTTTAGCAGTTCTGCTACGATTATAAATTAAATAGCTCAGCAGTACTTCAAAGCTCAGGGAAAAAAAAACAGAAAGGGAAAAAAAAAAAGCCCTTTGCCACGTGCACTTGCTACAGAAGTGCTGCTTTAGTCCTTTGTCAGGGAGGTGGTTTCCACTTAAGATGTCTGTGGGTTTCACTAAGCGCGTTTGTCGACTGTAAAGCCATCAGCAGAAAAATGCACTATTTTGTCTTCCTTACATAATAGTCTCCCTGAGGACAGAAGTATATGGCAATCGAGCCATTGGAGGAAAAAATTAAAATTCCTCTTTCAGACTCTGTCAGAATTAAAAACTTTCTCAGCACAGAGAGGGTGAATGCTGCCCAAAAAGCTCTGCAACTTGTAACCACCAGCAGAGAATTGTTTTATTTTTGTAGATTGCATAGATTTCTGTGTTGCTGTGCATGGAGAGTGGCAACCAGGAAGATGACAAAAATGAAAGCTTGAAGGGTTTTTTTGGACTGCACATTGCCTCAGCACGTCCACCAGACCTGGGATGGTACATGGTATGCTGGGTACCAGTGTCCCTGCCCACACCAGGGCTCTGCTCTGCATTGGAGATGACTTGCTGGGTTTGACTAACACGGCAAGTAGCTCATTGCATGGGAGATGCTGAAGCTCTGTTAAAACTATGTCCTGCAGAGGGTGAAATGGCGTGAGCTCAGATTGGTGCTGGGGCAAATAGAACCTTGTTTTCAGAGTATTCTGTAAACGCTGTCATCAATAAACGTGCAGTTGTCGTGCTTACAGAGGTGTGTTCTGGCATTTATCTGTGTTTCGGAATGCTAACCTTGCCAGAAAAGATTGTGTGTGTGTCTCTCATGTTTATTCAGAAGCTCTGTTGCTTTGACATTTTTCACTGCTGTAATTTCAGTTCTGCTGCGTTTGTGCTGGAGCTATTAGGCAAAGAAGCAATTCTTGCTCTCTGCAGAACTTTTCCTTTTTGCTTAGTTGGCATCTTGATGTGGGAAATGGGATGTTAGCAACCTCACATGGATTTTGTACAGAAATATTGAAGAGAGACACCAGAGTGAAAATGCATTTTGCTGAGAAGCCACAGGGGTGGACCTCTTGTCTCATCAAAGTACTGGTCCTAACAGGCCGTAGTTTGCAGATGCTAAGCAATTCTGTCTCGTTTTAGAGAGCAAAATATCAGAGGATGGGGAACTGGAGTTAGGTGGAATAATTTGCACGTTAGAGCTTCTTTTGTCCCTTGCAGCTGTGCAATGCCTTGTGATAACCGTTAAGTGCTGCCTGCTGTCTTTTTGTCCTTTGTTGGGCTGATTGAGCAGCAAGCTTGTAGCCCCAAGCCTGGCAGTGCCCTCCACAGCTGCACGAGGCAGCGGGCAGAGCAGTGCTCGCATGCATCTTGGGTCCCAGCCTTTCACAGCGAGCGATGAGAAGTGCAGCATCCAAGAAAAAGGAAAAACCATTGTGGAAAAGCAAGATGAGGCTTTCTAAGGGGCTTGTTCAAGCTCAGTTAAATGTTCCTTTCATTTGTTCAAGATCCAAAGTGACACATCTGCCATGGTTCGATTCTGTTGCAGGACGGTCGTCATGCCCATTGCCAATGAGTTTGCCCCGGATGTTGTGCTGGTGTCATCTGGTTTTGACGCGGTGGAAGGCCATCCTACGCCTCTGGGAGGATATAATCTCTCTGCAAAATGTAAGTTGTGGATTAGAAAACAGCAAATACTGCAATTGGTGTGAAATTTTGGGGATTAACGTGCAAGGCTTGCTCCGAAAGTAATGCCTCCTATTTTATGATGTTGGCCCAGGATGTCAGTGTTGGGTGTTGGTATGGCAGTAAAAGTCGAACCTTCTCACCAGTATACACTTTGTTGCTGTGTGACAGATGGCAGCAGAGGGGCACTGTGACAGACTGGCGTCTGACACAGAAGTGTGGGTGAAGCAAACATGTGTCATTGAGTTCCTCTATGGGGAAAAAATGGCACCCATTGGCATTCATTGACACTTACTGAACATTAATGGAAACCTAACTGTGGGTGTGAGGCTTTGGGCGGTGACTGTGATATGAGAGACAGGCCGTGTTCTGGATAGCCATGCGCAGCTGTCATGAAATGAGGAACATCTCAATCAGGCCATCCATGCAAATCAGCCAACAGTGGTGACTGTTGAAAGAGTGTTTCATAGCTGAGAATTTGCTCTGTCAAATAGTGTGGTTGTGCTCTTTATATCTGTTGTAGTTTCCATGGAAATAAATAGGAGGCATTACTTTCAGGATGACCTACATATAATATTTCCAGGTTTTAGCCTGTGAGGATCTAGCTTGAAACCTTCCATTTCAGTGGCAAACTTTTTGGATTTTCTGTTGCATTTTCATTTGTTTTGTTACTATTGTAGTCTGCCTGAAGCCTTTGTTGTCTTAGAGCATTGCATATTTGACTTTTCAGTGACTAAACCACATCCATGCAGAAGGCTGCTGCTGAATTTGAAAAAATTACAGTTGTTTTAATGCAAAATTGCAGAAGGGAGGCAGTGTCAGATCTAAAGAGGTAATTCCCTGCTCTGAGTGCTAGAAGGAATCCATTTCTTTCTCCAGGGTCCCTTACAAAATTTTTTTTACAAATATTTTTTCTTTATCCTTGTAACAATTCAGTCGGCCCATTTCACTGCGTGTCTTCATGTTTTGCATTGCATAGGAGATGCACTCAGCTCTGGGCTGGCCTTTTGCTGCAGTTCTGGGTTTATCTGGTTGTATTATTTGGATCAACCCAGTTTTTCTTGCAAAAACAGAAGGATATTCTTTAAGAGATTGTTTCAGTCAAGAAACTTACTCTGCACAGTGAACTTCAGACCTTCGTAAGGTAGCTGAGCCTATAAACTTTATACAGGAATAAAGTGGAATAGATTTACAAGAGAAGTTATTTAAGATATCCAGAAACACTTTGTAATGAAAGGGTCTTGTTTACCTGCGTGTTGCATTTCCCATGCTTTGCTGCTCTCCCAAAACATGAGGCTGGGTACCACGTTACGTGCTCAGCCATGAATCTTTTGTCTCGCTGTTAATTTGCTGATTTGCAAAGCACTTGTAGGAGTTATAAGACACTGCAAAACAAAAGCAGGGAGCATAGATGAAGGGTAGAAATGTGCTGGGTTCTCTTTCGTTTGGATTTTTTTTCTATTTTTAGGGGGGAGGGTTGGTTTGAGGACATGTTTTTTTAAATCCTCACAGCTTGGTTCTGTTTTGTTTAAAGGGCAGAAATGTATTGTGTGTCATATGATCAAAGTCCCGGTGCCTCAGGAATTTTTACAGCATATTATATACGGGAAGAAACGTCTGTCAAAGGCCGGTTGTCAGATATCTCTGGGGCTCCGCAGTGCCGTGATCAGAACCGAGAGCACCGGCAGCAATTTCACCAGTTCCCCTTGCCCTCCTCCCCCCCCATGCCTTCTGCACAACTTCTCTGACTTTGCCTTTTCCTTCTCTCACACAGCAGGGCGAAGGCAGCCTCCTTCCGTCCTCCTCCTCCCCTTCCCTGCCTGGCCTCTGCCACCACCCCGAGCCTGGGGCCTGCTGGAGGGCTGCTGGGGGGCTGTGTTGCCCCTCGGTGCCTGGGATAACCTCCAGTGAGATGCTTGCTGCGGCCCAGGGGTTGTGGATCCATCCCGCACCGCTCCAGCAGGGAAGCGTGGCTGGAATTCTGAAACGAGCGTATGAAAATCAAACCTGGCTTATATTATGCGTTTAGTCCGCTCAGATCCCTTGTGGTTTTTTAATATGATGTAATTCCTTTTTATAACTCTTTGATCCTTCGCCAGGAGCCTGATTCCAGCAACAACCTCTGCCCTTCTCTCGCATTTCCTCTTTTCCCCTCGCAGGCTTTGGGTACCTGACGAAGCAGCTGATGGGCCTGGCCGGAGGCCGCGTCGTCCTGGCCCTCGAAGGAGGCCACGACCTGACTGCCATTTGCGATGCCTCAGAAGCATGTGTTTCTGCTTTGCTGGGAAACGAGGTACAGAGAAATGAAAAATCCTGCCGTGGCCTCCTGGTGGCACGTGCTTGGGGGCACGTTCCAGGTGCCACAGCCTCTGCCCCCTCGTCCTGCCGAATTTCCAGTTGAGGCATCAAATGTGGGCTTCTCGTTCTCCAAAACAGGGGATGTGCCGCACCTTTATCCATGCAGTTTGCACCGTGCTCCTAAGAAAGTCACCGATTAGTTTCATTTGCTTCTGAAGTTACTGTCCACACCTTCCCCTCTCTTTGCAGTCCCCCTGCCAGTATATCTGCTCCATTGAGCAGCGTGCTTGATGCTGCTTTCTTTTCTACTTTTTCCTCAACATTTCATTTCCTACCTTCTGCTCATTGCTGTTTTGAAAGAACTCTTAAAGAAGTTGGCTGGAAAAGCCAGGGTGTTTGATTGCAAGATAAGAAGAAGGCAGAGAAGTACACAAAGGAAGTCTAGTTTCTGGTTTCTAGAAATGTTGGGATATTTTCCTACAGAGGCAGATTCTTTGGCTTCTCTGCCTCTTCTTTCTGTGGTGGGATTAAAGAAAAAATGATTCAGACTTTTCGCAGCCCTCCCCTTGATGCAGCCAGGCTTTAGAATCTACTGTAGCTGGCACCATTTCTTCCAGCGTGACTGATAATGGAAAGCTTCCCAGTGGTGGCATTTGATGTGTTTTGGACTCAAGGTGTTCAGGCTCATCCACTACAGAAACACTGCAGCAAGCACAGCAGTCAGCTGCCAACAGTAAAATCTCAGATTGGGAACCTTGTGCATTTGTTGTGTCTCTACCTCTGCATATACTTCTGTTCAAGAAGCATATTTATAATTTGTGGGTTATGAGTTTGAACACATTATTTGTTTGGGTCTGGCCTCTTTCTTTTCCGTACACGTGTTCTTCACACAGAGAACAGCCACACTCATCCTGATGGCTGAGTCTTGGACTGGTACAGTAGACTGCAAAAGTGCCTTGCACTGATTTTCTACCTAGGAAAATTGTACTCTTCTCAGAGAAGCACAAGCTGGAGCCATGGACACAGTCCCTGTTTGTTACCTGCTGCAGTTGCCGTGGCACGGTTGGCACTCTGGGCCTGCTCAAAGCAATTGTTGAGGGTTGATGACACACATAACAGCAGCACAAGGCTTTTCCCTTGGCTGTGTATACCTAAGAAGTTCAGCTTTGTGTTGCAGGATCCATTCAGACTTGAAGTTGGAGGTGGCTGGCTAGTGTGTTTGAATTTTTTTTAGGTTGCCTTTTTAGTTTGCCTTCAGTACCCCGTGCGAATGAGCAAGTTTCAAAAGGCTGCAGTAGATGGACGCAAAGAGGCTGCTGAGGTGACCTCTTACAGAACAGACCTCTGAAGGCATTGGTCTCTTCTGCAGAGCAAGAGACCTTCCTGCCTGTTGGTGAAGGGAGGAGGTTCCTCCCAAAGCTTTCACCTGCCGTGGAGAGCACAGCCAGGCTCTCTTTGCTGAAGAAGCCACAGTGCAGGAGCTGATGGAAGCCTTGTGGTCAGCATCTGAAGGTGCAGTAAGTAGCACAGAGAAGAGAAACCAAGCAGAATTTCAGCTGTCAGTCTGCCTGTGGTGGGAGCTGACTGCAGGGACTGATGGTGAGCCCTGGGCAGGCTTGTTGTGACTCAGTTCAGGTCAGTGATGAGTGGCCTTTCTCTGGTCTGGGAAGCTGGAGCAGGGAGGTACAGACTGCCTGTGTTCCCTGCCTGCTAGCCTTTTGAAGGAATGCTATGTCTCTCAGTATCCAAACTCTTTGTGAAGGATGACAGTGCCTGAGGAAACTTCACCAACCAGTCTAATACATCATCAGTGAAACAGCTGGGATTCATAAAAAGCATCTGCTTCAGTCATCCAGCATCCCATCTCCAACCATCCAGAGAGTATCCATTCCTTGCGCTTGGCCAGACAGCTCTGATAAGACACTCAACATAGGTAACCTGTCCAGCACACCAACCCTTGGGACAGACGAAAACCCAGGAGCCAGTAAGCAGAGGAAGAGCAGAGTTGATGTAACAGCACCTGTGTCGCTTCATCTGGCAGCAATGGCACTGTTGTCAGCACAGACGATCAGCTCCACACAAATAAGGATGCAGCCAGCTCTAATGGCAGGATGCACTTTGAAGGAGAGACTGAGGAAATAACATGTGAAAGATGTCATTCCTCTCACTTAATGTAGCGCTGTGGTGCGGGCGGGTGGCTGCAATGTGGGGTGAGGATCTGCGTGCAATAAAGGAGTGCTTGATCCGAGCCACAAATGTGTTTGGGAGCGCGTAGCTCTGGGAGATCTTAGCATTCACGATAGCTTGGCTGTTGTCAGCTGGCTGAGTGTTTCCATTTAGCAGAGTGAATATTGATCCTTAAAGGTAAAAAAAAAAAAAAAAAAAAAAAAACTTTTGTTTTTTTAATCACTGCATCGGGACATCTATAAAGCGCTTTTAAATATTTAAAGATGGAGCTATTCTCACTTTTCCTAGGTGGGCTGTAAGGCTGCGCAGATATCATGATAATGTTCCCTTACCCGCACATCAAAAAGCAGGAAACACTCGTTTTATCAAGGTCTTTTATAAAGCCTTTTTAATGCAAGAAAGTTGGAGGGAACTGCTGTTGCTTTGTCCCGCGGCCCTTTGATGGGGTTTGATATACAGTGTGCTAGGCAGCTCTGCATGCGTGCACATGGACAGCCAGCTGCGGCCGGCGACGGGTGCGGGGAAGTGTGCTTGCTGCAGAGAGCCGGTTGTGTTACGTGAGGAAATGGTAGGAAATGAGGGGAGCAGTGCCAGTCCACACAGCGTCTGCCTTCACCGGCGGAGATCAAAACTCCCGCTTTGGAAAAGCGTTATGCAGAGGCAGTTCCCAACTGCCCAGGAAATTAAAGCGGAGCTCGAGCTTTGCAGCAGATTATTTTAATGTGAAATGAGTTAGAGCTGTGTGGGGTGGCTTGAAAATGTTTGAGTTGCTTTGGTTACAAATTCAGTTGTTCGATACTGGCATGATTGCAGCTGAATGCAGGGAAGATCGCTTAAGAGATAATTGCGCCGGTTAGGAAGCGGTGCCAGCGCTGTGCCCCAAGCAGAGCCTGTGCAATGGGAGCTGCTGGTGGCAAGGACAGAGCCAGAGCTACAAGATGTGCTCAGCAGCACTCACAGCACTGCAAAGACTGTGCCATTTTTCGTGCACGAGCAGCAGAGATGTGTCCAGTGTCAGACTCTGGACATCCTGAATGAACAGGGAGGTGATAATAAGCAGTTGTTTAAAAACGTTGCCTAATGCTCAGAGGTATTTTCTTCCTTTTCCGAGTGAGCGATGAGTGAGGCTGTTGTCTGTGAGTGTTGTTTCAGGAGGAGTGCTGCACGGTGGAAATGATTCATCTGTGAAATAGCACACGGCTAAGCTGCCTGGTGTTGTGTGCTTTATGTCAGCATTAACCAAAAGGCACTGGGAAGCTCTTACTAAAGATTTGTCCAGGAATAGCGTTCGCCTTGACTTAATGTCATACAGAAGCTGGCGTTGGCCAGAATTATTTTTAGAGTAAAGAATTTATTAGAAGTGCAATCCGTAATTATTAAATCTGGAGCGGAGCAGTTTCTAGCCCTGATGGAGCACCTATCAAATGGCTGCCATCTGGTCGCGAGAGCAGATCTCTTGGCTGGAGCTTGTCTTGGCTTTGGTCAGAAGTTGCAGTTAAACTTTGCCACAGTTTTTATTAACTATTAAACTGTGACTGCTTCTTTGTTGAGGAGGACCCTCGGATGAGCACTGGTGCATATTTTCAGACACAGTCAACAGCTGCAAGCATTTCTTGTTTTGGATACTCGGCTTTGTGATGAGTGTGTGTTCTTTGTGGAGAACCAGGGGAGAAAAAAAAGGAGGGGGGAAGAAAAGAAAAGGGTTTGGAGAAAATCGACTCAGCTGAAATTTTTTTCTTGAGCACTGAGATGTGAGATGTCTAAGGCTCCAGCCATCAGGCACATATGTGAGCCAAGTAGAGCTGCCCTGCTGGACATCCTCACCTACCAAGCAGACATCTCTGCTGTGCCATTGCAAATCGGTGCTCTACACAACATCACCCAGTTTCCTTCCCTTGGAAGATCCTTTTTAAAGTTTTCAATTATTTATATTCTCTTCTTTTTAATATAAATTGATATATCCGGACTGCAGATCTGGCTTCTTTCCTGTGGAGGGAGGAAGCCCCAGCTCCTGCCTGCTTTTAGAGCCATGCCTGCACAGTGTTAAAATGCTGCTGCTCTTTACAAAGGATGGCAGGAGCCACATGGGTGTATCTTAGGATATTCTTCAGCAGTTTAGAGAAAAAAATGTGTAGTAATAGCTGTGTTGTTGGGGCTTTTTTTGTTGCTTGTTGGCCAATGAGAATCAAGGCAGGCATCATACCAACAACACAAGGTTTAATAACTTCCTGAAGGGCAAAAAGGACAGGTCAGCTTTTCAGAAGACAGTCCTCTTAAAGAGAGAGAAGTGAGAAAACTGGCTGCTTCTCTGAGTCAGTAAATGCAGAGGAATGAAAAAGCTTCCCCTTTTATTTCTTCAGAGGAAAGAAAGAAGTGTGGTCATTGTTGTATTTTTCAGTTGCTTTTATTTTCCTTTCACACCATTAATAGTGAAACCTTTGCACAAGGCAGCCCGGAGCCCTAGTCTTACATTGTGTGAAAACAGACAGCAGCACTTGCCTTATTTTTCTGCTCATGGCAAACAGTCTCCATCCAGGGCTGCAGCGTTTTGTGCTTGTGGAGGAGTGTTGGAGCAGGGGAGGCTGCATGGAATATCGCAGGAGCGCTTAGAAAGTCTGTCTGTTTTGGATATTTAACTAAAGGCAGATAATAGGAATCAGGGGAATGGGGTGGAAGCTTAATGTGGCAGAGCTGTTTGCTAAATCATGCTTAATGCCTCGTCTGTAGCTTGAGATAACATTTCTTCATTCTTCCTCTCCCTCTCCAGCTCGACCCTCTTCCAGAAAAGGTTCTCCAGCAGAGAGCAAATGCTAATGCGGTGCATTCAATGGAGAAAGTGATTGAGATACACAGTGAGTAAAGCCCATTCACAGAGCTGGTTCCCTGCTGGGCTGCCCTTAGGAGGATACCCATTCCAATTCTTCATTGTCCTGGCAGCTCCGTGTTCAACCTCAGACCACTGCATACCCTCACCCTACTTTGTGGATTGTCACTGCATTGTGGACTGGATTTAAGCAACCACCAACTGGTCTTACTGTACACTCAGTAATTTATTGAGTGATGCACAGGGTTAAAAGTCAATTCAAGGAGGTGGTTTGGCTCTTGAGAGAGGACTGTATCAGTGCTCTTTTCTGCAGATCCCGCTGCTTGGCTGGCACAAGTTGAAGCTGTTAAGTGCAGAAGCTTGTGTTCAGGAAAGCAAAGCAAGCTGGGAGGCACCCTGGTCATTGAGCAGGTTGTTCTGGTCTCACTGGGGGAATTAGTATTAAAGCCAGTGCAGTAAAACCTTTAAAATCACTGTAGAGGACAGACTGTCCTACACTTCAGCGTGGGTGCTTATATCTTCAGAAGCAATTCAAGTATCTCTGACTAACACAAGTCTCATCATGCATTGTTGCATTCGTTAGTGAAGAGTGGATAGGGATGAAAGAACATTGCATGAAACTGCTAATATTGTGGGTTTATTTAGTTGAGATTAAAATCATTGTGGTTAAAGGTTTCCTGGGGATATTCTTGAGGAATGGAGTGAAAAGAGTCTGAATAACATGGGAATCCCACTGTGCTAGGTCTTGACATCTTCCCACTTCAAACACTTGTGGTGTAGAACTGGAGGGAGGCTAGTCTCCTCTTTATAGGAATAAAGTAGAGCTCAAAAAAGGCCAAATGATTTCCCCCCCCTCAGAAGTGCCCGGTAGCTTTAGAAATCTCAATTCCATTTCCAGCAGCCACTCTGCTGACTCAAAATGCTCAGCAGCGATGTGACACCTTGAGTCAACTAGTGGCATTTCTTTCTTTTTCCATTAAACTGAGCAAAGCAACTCGGAAGAGGGGTTTTAAGTAAGACCGTCAGGTCACCTTTCTTCCGTAGCCAAAGGAGAAGAGCTTCTTTCATTGCAAGCCAGTGATTCAGCCCTGATTTGACATCCTGGTTGTCTTTGGGGGAGAGAACTGGTTCATTTTTGTAGATGCTTTATTAAAGCATGTTTTCCCCTACAAAACATCTCTCAGCCCAGGAGAGCTGTTACGTCTCCATTCTTCCTGTGTGATTCCAGCTGTGGAAATCTGTTACTTTAGCCTCCCTCCTCCATTTTTAGTTCTTTTTTATGAACAAGGGTTTTACCCCTTATAAACAGGGAATACTTGGTTGTCCTGCTGCACAGTTTTCTGCTGAAATATGTCCTGCTGATGGTATGCTTGCCTACATAACAAAACAAGACAAACATTTATTCAAAACGTAGATCTTCAAGACACAGCAGAATTGCAGCACCATTGATTAATATGTGGCAAGAAGTAGGAGTTTTGGCAATTCTTGGATGTCGCTTTTGAAATTGTGTAGAAAATAAATTGGATTTTTCTGCATAGAGAGCAGAGCAGCCTCTCTCACAAGCAGCCTACTTGACCATAAGGGTCAGCGATGATCTCCTGCTGTATCAGAGCTCGTGACAGAGAGCTGTGAGCAGGAGAGAGGAATCCGTCTCACCACTTACCAAGCCTGGAAGGTTCCAAGGGGTTTCCCTTGGCTGTGCCCCCAGAAGTTCCCTCCATACCCAGGAGCCTCATGGCAGGCCTGGAAGTGGCAGCAAGTATGGCTTAAGACTGCGTTTTGCGTAAGCCTGGTGTGTCCTCCCCAGTCAGTTCTCAGCTATCTATCACTGGGCATAGGAAGGTTGGTTGTGTGGAGCTGTAAGCAGCCTGACCTATGAATGGCAGCCCTGCCCACAGCCAGAGGTTGGAACTGGGTGATCCCATTAAGGTTCCTCCCAACCCATGCATTCTGTGATTCTTTGAACAGGTGACTTGACCCATCCTGATGCAGGGGACCTAACTGCTGCTTTTCTCACCTCTCCCCAGGCAAGTATTGGCATTCACTCCAGCGCTATGCCTCCACAGTGGGCTATTCCCTGGTTGAGGCACAGAAGTGTGAGAACGAAGAGGCTGAGACAGTGACAGCCATGGCATCTCTGTCGGTAGGCGTGAAGCCAGCTGAGAAGCGGTGAGTTGCTTTTGTCATCACAGGTGGCCTTGGGGGCAGCCTACTGGGTTAATCTTTGCCTTTTACCCATTGCACATGCATTCACCCATCTCCTTCCTTTCGTGCATTCTCTAAAGACCTGGGCTGCAAGAGAAGTTCACTTGCATGAGCCCCAGATGTTACCTTAGTGTTGTGCACACATTGCCTGATCCCTCTGCTCCAGTCAGAGCAGAATGTGTTTTTGGACCATGAGAGGAAATAAATTTTGCTGCAAAAATTTCAGAGTTGCACAGTGGAAGCACTTTGTTTGAAAAAAACCTTTTTGGAGGCAAATTTTAATTCTAGGTAAGCCAGCTGAGCAAAATTACCTGCAGGGAAGGTGATAGGAACATAAGGTGTGAGATTTAGCGCTACGAATTATCCGGCTCTCGTGCTCAACCATCTTTTCTCTCCTCCCTCTTCCCTCCCTGCCTGGCTGTGAAATTGCTCAGACCCGATGATGAACCGATGGAAGAGGAACCTCCCCTGTAGCATTCATCTTCGAGCTGGAGTTCTCCTGTTTGTTTGTCTTCGTCTTGAAGCTCTGCCAAGAAGCTTTCTCTTGTTACTCCTGCGTCCTGTCATGGTTTTTTCCAGAATACAGAAGGACAACCAGGTGTAAAGCAAAGCAACCGAAAAATCTCTCCGTATCTATACGCGTCTACAGTATATATTTGCTGAAAATGAAAAATGCTGGTGAAGAGCAGTAAAGGACTGACAACGCTGGGCACTCTTCCTCTGGTCCTCACCGGGAGTGGAAAGGGGAACGACGCCCGTGAAGTCTTTGGCAGAGTTGCCAAAAAGTCAAAGATTCAACAACACACGTGAAAATAAAACAAACAGACCTTAACGTGAAACTGGTGCTTACAATTTGATTACCCACAATTCAGCAATCTCCGCTTGAACCACTTTGACCCATCTTGTAGTTTCATTTCTTGGATTTTTTAAATGGCTCTTGCCTGCCTGTGAGTCAACGACGCTATTGTCGAAACCAGAACAATGTGAGATGGTGTATTTTTAATGGGGAGGGACAGGGAAAGAGGACTAGTCTTACATCTAAAGGAAAGGGAAAGAGAGGGGGGAAACGCAGAAAAGGAAACGGTAGCCCAGATGGAGTCGGCTTTATTGTCTCCAAAGCCATCTGAAGATGAGTTTGTGCCTTTTTTTTTTTAATTGATGGATATGGTGCAGCTGGATTTTTGAAGTTTGAGGAACAATGCCTTAAGTAAAAACAAAAAAACACAAAAAAGAACAAAAACAAACAAAAAAAAACACGAAAAAAAAAGAAAACGCAGCAGTTCGTGAATATTTTTCCTCTGGTTGGAAAGCCAAGAACTGCCATCAGGAAGGAAGACTTTTTGGCTTGTGCTGGCATGATGGTGGGAAGCAGGCATCAGCTGAACAGAGCGTCTCCAAAAACTGTCTACAAGTTTGGATTTGTTTTGTTTTCTTTCATTGCTGTTTCAAAAAAAAAAAAAAAAAAAAAAAACTAACAAAAAAAAACAAAAAAAAAAGAAAAAATTAAGGTAGTTGCCAAGAAAGTGGCAAATACTGTTGGGTCTTTGAAATTCAACCATTTTTAAAATCAAATTTTCAAATGTTTTCTCTCTTCTACATTATCTAGTAATTGAACTTATCAATTTGGTTGTTGAAGCATGTATTAGACACAAATGCAGGTTTAAGACTGGAATGCTTTTTATTAAAAGCAACTAGCATGAGATATTGCTTAAATTGTTAGGTATAAATATATATATGTGTATAATGTATATTCCAAATGTATTCCAAGCTTAGAAACCGGATTCCTATGAATTATTGATAAAATATTTATAATGCATTTATAGAAAAATATATGTAATAAATGCATACTATAACAGTAGCCATTGAAAGTTCCCTAGGGACAGATTTGTGAATTGGAATGTCGAGGTGCTTTTGGAAAAGGATCCAGGTAGAAACTTGAGGACTTTCGGACAACAGGTTGGAAAGTTTTCAGATTGCCAACACGTTAGCCACTGGGCAACTACCCTAAACATTTGTATTTTAATTTAAGATTTTTAGTTACGATCCTTTTCTAAAAAAAAAAAAAAAAAAAAAAAGAAGAAAAAAAAAGAAAAAAAAGAATGAGTTTTTTATAGCAAAGACTATGAATTTGCTGTTGATTTTTATATCGATATTTCACAAAACCCTACAGAAGCCTTGTTTATGTGAATCTGACATTTGTTTTCTATTTGGCAGGTTTTGTTTCCGAATGGCAATAGTGTCCAAACCTTTCTCCTCCCATTTTTTTTTCTTGCTTGTACATTATTTTCTTTCTTTTTCTTTCTTTCCTCCCTTCCTCCCCCCCCCTTTTCCCCTCCCCCTTTAAGTCTTTTGTACAGTGAGCAGCTTTCTGCAGGCGTAAGGAATTGTTGCAGATTGTCAGAGTTTATTTTTGGAAGGCGTGCGTTTACCGAGGAGGAGGGAATGCAATGAGCTCTTTTGTATAATACCGCCGACTGTATATTTCCTCAGTTCTGTTATAGTAGCTCTGTAAAGAAAATAAGGAGTTTTCTTACCTTCGACATAGTAGTATTACAATGGGTGACGTATTTATCCTCCATGTGGATTGTAGTGAGGATTCCACGCGGCTTTAGTAGCTATCATACGGAAAGCTTGTCAGACACTCGGACAGCTGGCATCTTCTCTCTCATGCACACGGACACGCAGACACGCACACACACACCCCACGTACTCTTCCCCTCTCCCCTTCTTTCTGAAGAAGTTGCAACTCGAGCTGCCTGAAGAACTGTTTCCTGAGCGATTTCTCCAAGCCGAGCTGGAACGCGGCCCCGGGAGCAGCCCCTCATCCCTGGCTCAAGGAAGAGGCGAGCAGCTTAGAGGAGACCAGATTGGAGAGTGTACCTTCTTGCAGCAGCGTAGGATAGCACAGATCCCTCGTCTGAACAACCAAGGGTAGATTTTTCTTTTATTCTGTTCTTAGGAGAACCAACGGGGTCATTTCTAGTAACTTCTTTTCCAGTTCTTGAAGGGGCTGTTTTCATTCCGTTCAAGACTTGCTTGTGGAAGGAATTTGAAGCATACCATACGTGTGAGCAAATGCAAGAGGCTTTTGTTTTTTGTTTCTCGGTTTATAATGCAGTTGAAAAACCAGACACTACTGTATTTGAGTTTTGCAGACCCAAGTACGTTTTTAAGTCACAAATAGCTTTGGTCACTAGGACCATCCTCGGCGCGTTCTGCACGCAGCCTTTCCCGTGTGGACGCACGGCGTGCCCACAGGCGCTGTTTTTTCCAATGACCACTTTGCTGCTGTGATCTAAACTCAACCCGGCCGCAGGATCTGGTGACTGACTTTCCATTTTCCTTTGGCCGTTTCTGAGCTGTGGGCAGTGACCACGTTTACATGAGCATTTCTGTTGTCAGATCTTCCTGGCGGTTTTGTATTTCCACTCTCCGTTGGGGCGAACCTTTTTGCGCTCCTGAGAGCCGGCCGTGCTGGGCTGGTTTCTTACAAAACTGGCCTCCCATGGCTTTCAGGATGCCACGTTTGTTTCTTGCCATCATTTCTCTGAGCCTGCCCAAGGAGAGAAGGGCTTCCCGAGGCTCCGGAGCTCGTCTCCTCCCCATCCCAGCCCACGTGGATCCGCTTCCAAGCTGTGCCCGTGGCCCAGGCCAGCTCTGGGCAGCACAGTGGAGGAGGAGCCCTTGTTTTGAGGCATTTTTCCCTTTTTGAGCCTACAGCTTCTTCCTTTCGGGTGCCAGTGTCACGGCACGGCCCCGCCGGCGTGGCTGGCAGTACACGAGTAACCATTTGTTTTTTACTTTCGATACGGAACATTCCTTTTTTATTAGTCTCGGTCATGTATTCATTCCATTCTTCCTTTTGTAAACTTTTTGGGCCCACGTCTTTTATGGGCATTGATATATATAAATATATATATAAATATATATGAATATATTTTTTTAAGTTTCCTACACTTTGAGGTTGCATGGTCTGTAAGGTTGGCATGTCTTTATATTGTATACAGATTTTGCACGCCAAACTTGGCAGCTTTGAAAACGGAGGAAAAAAAAAAAAAAAGAAAAAGAAAAAAAAAAAAAAAAAAAACAAAGGGGGGGGTTTTTGGTTTTGTTTTGTTTTTCCTTCTTTTGTTTTTTTTTTTTTTTTTCCCTGTTGTTTTTTTCCTCTCGTGGCATTTGCGGAGACTGAGGTTGGGACGTTTTTGTCACACGCACGCACCCGCACCCACACACACACACACACACGCAAAGGAAGGAGAGTGGGAAACGTTTGTCACGTCTCAGTGAACTTAAGAGATCATGCTTTTTGTTGTTAAGAAAGAGTTAAAAAGGACTACTTAAACATTTCTCATTTTAAGAAGAAGAAAAAGACATTTATCTAGCACTTGTGACTTACCAATAATAGAGTTTATTGTATTTATGTGGAAACAGTGTTTTTAGGGAAGCTACGCAGAACACACAAAGTTAACTGCCTGTGTCATTACTATTCTTTTTTTTTTAATTTGGTTGGGTATTTTATTTTGATTTCTTGGCTGGGTGGGGAGGTCGGATGCAACCTTTTGTCAACACACGCAGTCATTAATTCTGAGGTGATGAATGACGAGGACTTTAAGGAGTTAACTCTGCAGCACAGCTGTGTTAACTTTTTTACAATTACTTTTACATGCTGTCTTGCTAGGTTTCACTTTAAGCAGTCGTGTACTGTGCAACACTGTGGTTTAAAACAAGACTTTACATCGAAAGGAAAATCATGTTTCTTCATTGTCACGAAGTTGAGCTCGTTCTCAGCTCATCTTCACTTTGTCTTTGATATTGATGAAAAAGTATCCTATTGAAAGAAAATAAATTAACACTTTTCTGTGCTCCATAGTGGAGGCGCTATTTTCCAATTTATGAGGATGACAAACTTATATATATAATATATATATAAAAGTGGGGGGAGGGGTTGAAACATTATTCACCCGAGAGCTTATTACAGATATGTAGTATCAAAAAGTTGTAACTATATTATATTCTACTTTATACCTATACATGCTCAGTATGACGTCACCATTGGTAGCAGCTACCGGTTTACGCTGTAATTTAGACACAATTTCACTCTTATTGTATGGACCCTTCTTTAAGTGATGGTAGCATTCTTTGTGCTAAATTTTCTGATGGTCCTTTGTTTTACTTGATGGAGTTGGAATATTTTTCTCACTCTTGTTTTTGCTTGTTTTTTTTTTATTTTTTTTTTTTTCCTCTTTTCTCTCTTTTTGGTTTCGTGGGGTTTTTTGTTGTTGTTGTTGTTGGTTTCTTTTTTTTTTTTTTTTGTTTTTTTTAACTGGCCAATGGTGTCTTTCTCTGACAGTACCGACTTCAATTTCAACTTTATTAGGAGTCCAGTATTTTGTACCACATTATGACAACTTGTTATTCTTGTGGTGTAAATAAAAAGAAAAAGTTAATTATAGTAACACCTTTGTTTCTGTGCCTGATCTTTTTTTCATCCGATGCTTTCGGGTTCGTGTCGTGTTTGACATCATAACAGGCTGCCCAGAGAGCCGGTGCCCCATCCCTGGAGGTGCTCAGGGCCAGGTTGGATGGGGCCCTGGGCAGCCTGAGCTGGTGGGAGGCAGCCAGCCCACAGCAGGGGGGTTAGAAATTGATGGGCTTTAAGGCACCTTTTAACCCAGACCATTCTGTGATGTTTGATCCGCCCACATCCAGGTGTATACCATGATATCCATGCAAAGAGAATTGCTGCAGCTTCTGCCCAGTCTCCTTTCTGTTTCCAGCCATCCGCGTGCAGAGTCTGTAAGAAGAAAAAAAGATCTCTGTGAAAGCTGCCGTGCATCCATGCAGTCCCACAGCACGTTTTCAGGGTCGTGGCACGTCCCATTCACTCACTGCAAATGAAACCACAGGTGTGTCGTCCTTTGGGAGAGAGGAGCTGACGAGGGCTGGCTTTTGGGAGTGGCTCCACTCTCAAGAGGATCCTGTCTTGGAGGACCTGGATGCATGTAGCAGGGGGTTTGGAGCTTGATGATCCTTGAGGTCCCTTCCAACCCAAGCCATGTTATGATTCTGTGGTTCCTTCATGGGTTTCCCCAGGAGCAGGGCTGAGGATCTCAGTGCGTGCAGCAGACTCACCCTTTTTTCTTTCCTTTAGCCTCTGTCTTTTTCTTCTTGTGTCTGGAGCTCTCTGAACCATCCAAAGTCCTGTTTCCCCACTCATCAGCAGAAGCATCATCTGACCTCAAGGCAAGCTGCACTTCAGACCGTGCACTTCATGCTTTCATTGTTGGGATGATTTTCATTGTCCTGGATGGAGAAGACAAGTCCCTGGGGCTCCTGCTTGAGCTGAGGCTCGTTTACATCTGCAGAGTGGAGAGATCCATCATGTGCAAACTGCTGCAGAACAAGCCTGATGCCATCTGCCCTGGCGGGCAGCCCTCAGAACAGCGTTCCAGAGTTCACAGCAAGGTGGGAAGGGCCTCAGGAGCTGCAGATTGCCACCATGGGGTGATCTGGCCCTAGGGCTGAGGGCTGGAGATGGCAGAGTGAAGCATGCTCACATACATCTTCAGTATGGGTGCAGCATGCTCATCAGAAGCTGTTAATGTTTTAAGAAGCCCCAGGTCTCGTTCTGCAAAGCCAGATGTGCATTTTGGGCTCTCATAAATGCCCACTGCTGAGTGACGGGCTTGAGACCCAACAAGCTGGGATGGTGGAGGGAGGATGCTTAGAAGGGCCGGGTTTGGAGTTTTGGAGGACAGGCTGTGACAGGGCCTCCTTTGGTGTCCCTGGGACCAGCAGCACCTGATTATCTTTAAAGGAGGAAGAGGAAGTCAAGACTGTGCTTTAAATAAAGGTCCCCTCAAGGATCATCAGGTTTTAGCCCCCCACTGCAAGCTGGGTTGCCAACCACTAGATGTGTTCTAATTGAGTGAGAGATAAAAGGGAAACCTCCATA